ATTGGCTCCAGTTCCATGGCTATAGAATTGGCGTTGTTGATGGCTTAGGTTAAGATAACAAGGTGCTATGTAAGGAAGAATTGATGGCTTTGATGCCTCGCTGTGATTGCCCTTGGATAAAAAAAGCAACTTCTTTTGTGTAGACTTTGATGTGGCTATGTGGCTACTAGATACATGTCCTCGTACAAGACAATAAATCACTGTTTGGTGGATGAATACCAGACTACGTTCCTGGCCCCTCACCAGTCTCGACATCGGAGATCTTGGATCCCCGAATGGAAGCCCCACGAGCACTCAAATGCTTGCTTATTTCAATATAATGCTGGAGACCCCATAAACTCGCATACTAATCCCTGTCCAACAACTGCCGTGTGCTCCGCACCTTTCCGTCAGCAATTTCCGCTGAAAACTAATTCGAGTCGTCAACTTGCAGCGTGACATTTGCCAATCGGAAGTTTGCGAGCTTTCGGGGAAAAGATGCATAATGCATCCATCCATGTCAACTCGGCACCGTTTGTCATGCGGGCACACCCATCGGTACTTGATATGCACCGAGACAACATGGCAATGAGAAAGGTGGGTAAGAACCCCTCGTATCTGGGGTTTAAAGTCTGACACCGACATTACTTTTCCAGTCCAAGAATCGTAAAGAATTACCTGACTCATCGCTTCACTCCCAACGCACCAACTACCATGGCACCAGCTGGAGATCTCGGTAGGAGACTCATTCCTTGTATCCTGGATGAGATGTCCAGAGATGAACCGGATCGAGTTATTTACTCCATTGCCAAATCTGCCGATATTTCCAAGGGCTTCACAGAGATTACAGCTCGCGAGTTTGCCAATGCAGTGAACAAGACCGCCTGGTGGTTGGAACATCTTGTTGGCAAGAGCGAATCTTTCCAGACCATTGGATACATCGGGCCACGTAAGTATCTTTGGCTTATACAGCATCTATCTGATGCTGACCAGACAAGATGACATCCGCTATTTCCTGCTGAATCTGGCCTGCGTCAAAGTAGGCTACCAAGTAAGTTACAATGCGCAATGAGGAAAATGTCTCTATGACTTATTTTAACACACAATACTGTTTAGGTCATTTTTTTGTCGCCAGGTAACAGCATCGAAGCTGCTTTGGGTCTTCTTCAGGCGACCAAATGTAGCCTTTGGGTTCATCCGGTGGACTACCCGCCGTATCAACTGGTTGAAAAGATCCAGCAGACATGGGAGCTACATATTATGGAGATTCCCACAGTCGCAGAACTCCTCGACGCGTCTAGCTCGCCTTACTATCCTTATACAAAGACCTACGATGAAGCAATGGCGGACACCTTCTGCATTCTTCATACGTCTGGTACAACAGGCTTGCCCAAGCCCATCTATCTCAGCAACGGCTTGCTTGCTACCATGGACGCCGCTCGTATCTTACCACCATTTGAGGGTGATGACGGCGCTCGTCCATGGGCAACCTTGTACGAAAAAGGCGATAGACTGTATTCCCCTTGTGTACTTCTTCATGTATGTCTTGGCAGCTACCTCATCCTGGAGATAGAGCGACTGACTTTGGACACAGGGCCCTGGGATATTTATGAACCTTTTCGCGACGTTCCTATTCGATACGCATAGCGTGATGGGCCCCGTCGGCGTGCACCCTGACATGGATCTGCTCGCATCACTTGCAAACCATGGCAACATTGATATCTGGCATTTCATGCCTGTGTATGTCAACGAGCTGGGCCAGCACCCTGAAGTATTGGAGAAGTTCAGATCCTCCAAGTTCATAGGAGCTGGTGGAGGTACGTCCCCAATTCGTTATGCAACTTTCGTTGACAAATCTTTTTAGGCCCTGTTAGCGCAGAGCTTGCCGCTAAGGTGAATGAGGTAGTACGTGTTCACAATCTGTTCGGCACAACTGAAGGCCTCTTCATGGGTGACATGCTGGTAGACAAGGAAGACTTCCTATGGGTTTCGTTTCATCCCTACGTCGGGTTTGAATACACGGAAATCGAGAGGGGTCTGTTTGAGCAACGCGCCGTTAAGAACGAACATTGGGCTCTACATCAAGGAATTTTTCATACCTTTCCTGACGTGAACGAATTTAACTTCAAGGATTTGTTCATCAAACATCCGGCAAAGCCTAACCTCTGGCTCTACATGGGTAGAAGCAACGACATCATTTGCTTGGAGGATGCACAGAAACTGTCTCCCATCGAAACGGAGAACATGATCTGTGCTCATCCCAATGTCAAAGGATGTGTAATGGTATGTGAGCCTGCATTGTGTAGCATGACCTCGAGTCGCTTACTCGTTTGATAGATTGGAAACGGCCAGAAGTTCGCTTGTCTGATGGTAGAGCTGAAAGATAATACTCTAAGAGACTCGGAGACCATTAAAGGACTGATGGAAAGTCTTGGGGATATCATTGATGAAGCAGATCAAAATCAGCTGCTAAGGGGATATCTTAGAAGAGATTACATCATTATCGCAGATGCCAAAAGACCTCTTCCACGGACGGAGAAAGGAACCATTTCACGTCGAGCTGCTTTGAAGCTTTATGAGAGCGAAATCGATGCATTTTACCGCTTGAAGGGGGAGGCAACTGTGGGTGTTGGCCAACGTACAGCTCAAGCGGCCTAGATAGTTTCATGGCCCATTAATTGAGGTAATATTAAACATGGCTCTATTCTTCCATCGTCACTATTGTCATCTTGTATCCAGGGCAGCATCATCTTCAAAAGCCGTGAGATACCTATCCAGCTTCACTGAGTGGATTCTCTACCATTCTGCCCATAACGTAACATTCAGCCTTTGTACCCTCTTCTGTATGTCGCGAGCCGAAAGCTGACTCAATTTGATCATGTGGGAGGTCCTGAACCTCACCACCAAGTGGATGTCTGATGGAAACTGACTGCGGATCACGTAGCCCGTCTCTCAATATTTGAAGAGCATCTCGCCAGGAACCAACTCTGATGTGAACTAAAAACAACGAAATCTCCGATCCCACGTCCACGTCAAGAGCCGCAGCCAATGTTCCAAGTTCCGTAGTGGTGACTGAGATCTCGGTCAGATGGATTGAGCGTAGGCTAGTTCCTAGAGGCCATGCAAATCCGATGCCAACTGAGGTCGGAGCAGCGAATATGGATTTGAGACCTAGGCTGTACCAAAACTCGCCGAGGTTTATATCTGCATGTGAGATGCACCCGGCGTTGAAGATTGCTCCCAAGTATTCGTTTATGACTTCCATCTCAGTCGCTGTCCTGGCCGTATCATTTTCGTCTTCATTTCTGATCCATGGGCCACAACCGCTTCGGCATCTTGGCTGAAAGCTGAACTGCATAAGGTCAAGACGCTTGATGGCATCTGATAACTTGTCGCAGTCATCTCTGCTGAGTTGCATTATCGTGTAATCCGGCGCAGCCGATACATGGATAGAGAGTTGATCGATGAGCAGTGACTCTACAGCACCTAGTGCAAGTGGAATATCCACAAGTAGCCTCGTCGGAACCCCAGGCCAGATGAATTCGTTTGGTTGGACCCAACGTGCTTCTTCCCATAGCATTGGCCGAGAAAGGACTTCAATTAGAATTTCGGCTTGAGCTGAGATGTCTTGTCCACCAACTGGGTCAAACTTGCGGCCTAGATCATAGTTGTTTGTGAGAACACCGTCGTGAAGCATGACGTGCCGGATGTTCGGCAGTCTCGTCAAGATCTGGGCTACCACCAATTCGAATGCGCCGCCGCCATGACAGAGCTTCTGCAAGTCGTGGCTTTCTTTATACTTTCTGTAGGCATGTTGAAGGATACTGTCCGCAAAGTCTGTCGGGCTTGCCGTGTTGCGTGATGTAGATGGCTCTACAGACGCATCATTATGCATATGTAGCTCATTGATGAATCGTTGCATCAGACTCTCAAATGTAACTTGCCCACCCAAGTTGGTGTCAATTGCATCGAACATTTGAGTTCGTTGACCCCATTCAGATAAAACGGCTGCGGCAAAATTGTCAAGACTGGCTGCAATCCACGGATGGTAAAAATGCAATCGGACATTGACCTCGTGTACTCCCTCTGCGATTCGAGGGTTTTCAAGAACTTGGCTAAATAGCTTAACACTCTCTGGACAGCTGAAGTCTAAAGTGCTGCAGCGACGAACAGCATAATCGCTGTAGAGCAGGCAAAACCTCTTGCAGGTTAATCTCAGGCTGGAAATGGTGTCATTTTGATGCTTTCGTTCTGTGCTTCTGCATAGCGTAAAGACAGCAAGCAAGATTTCGTTGGACAAGTTTAAGAATCCTGGAATTCTCTCGGGTAACGCAGTCATGGTGATGCTGAATCATATGTAGATATCAGTTGGTGTTTTGCTCGGACGATGCGGAGTAATTGAAATACTGTTTATTCCGTGGCGGGGAAACCCCAGGACCCTGATTCTCAGTGACGAAAAGACTTGGGTACGTTTAGCGCATTTTGGTGGATCTTTCGACCGGCTAATTTTAGTACCCAAGTGACCAGCCACCTCTTAACGTCAAGCTAGGACGACTTCCACAGATTACAGACGGTTTCTCGTTGAACTCGGAACGGGTTGACAATGAGATCAATTATCACTCAAAGAGAACATGGCTTGTTTATGTATGAATATTGAAGTCATCGGTCGAACACCAATATAACCCCTGAACTTTGCCCTTTGATTTTGTAGCCATTGATCCCTGGAGAGTAGAGTATTGGTGGTTCGGGAATTGGCCATATAAAGGGAACCAGTAGCTCCCCGTGCTAAATTCATTCTCTTGCATATAATAACGTAAGCAGTCAAACAGCAACACATTCAATTACAGTCTTCACAACTACAACATCTACCAAATGATTTACCATGAACGGAATTCAGCGCAAACCCCTCTCAAGTGAATGCATTATCAAATGCATTGTTGATGCATTCGCCTATGAGGGGTGATGCGCTTTTCGTGCAGATGACACGTAAAAAATTGCCCAAATACGGGTGGGGTGCGAGCATGCTGTGCAGGAGTGTATGCCCCGATGACTCGGGCGGCTATGAATTCGTTGTCATTGGCCTGTGGAAATTCGAGTCGCTTCTTCGCGACCATGTTGCTGTTGGAATTCCCCGGTCTGGTGGACCGAGCCATGATAAGTGTGCACTCCAAGCCTTCAGCGAACTTCAATTGGCGGGCTACGAAGTCTTAGCTTGGCGGCCATACTGCAAGGAAGCAATGCCCTATATGGATCGAGATGGAAACACTTTGACGATTGAGGAACGGCCTCCTCTCAAAGGTTTAGATGAGTTGGAGGACACCGGTGAAGACAACGCTGTAACTGAGTTGCGACAGCAGGTTTTGGAACTCAAGAGGACAGTCAGATGGAAATTGATGGAAGGGATCCGACTTCGAATGTCGAATTCGGAGAATACATCATTTTATTACGACAGTGAGGACAGAAGGAGAAGCCAACTACAACTCTATCGCGGGATGGTCCGGGAAAACGTGCCGTTATGCTACAAAAGGAGCTCGACAAGACCGACGGATTCACCCACTTCGAGATGGTGTTCGACCGCCATAAAGACGAGAAGGATCGCAACGGCCAATCTTGCCGTCTTGTAGAGATTGGCAGTGGTTTACATGACGCGTGGGATAGGGTGAAGATGGCAGATATGGCGATAGGTAGAGCCATGGCGGAAATGGGCGCAGCAGAGCTGAACCTTCTGGGAGGAGTTAGGAATAGCCCTGAGATTTAGATCACAAATGATGGTTTGAGGGCGCGATAACTCTTACTTTATTAGAATACAGACTGGATCTTCCTCTTCCACTGAACAATCCTTCCCCGTAATGACGCACATGATTTGCGCTTCGGAGCATTTCCCACGTGAAGTGTCATCGTCATGACTCGAGCCAACCCCATTAGCGCACGTCTAGTGGTCCAAGTGCAAACTCAAGCAACGCCACGCCTCGCGTTTCGTTCGGCAGTGCAACTTTCTTGACCAATCGCAACTGATGAAACCAATCACTCGCGAGAAACTGTTCCTGAGCTAACAATCGTAGTGAACCCTTTTGGACTCGCAGCTCCAATAGCCATCCTGTTACGGATGCGCTCAGACGTTGGACACCAGCTAGGAAAGCCGCTTGACCGGATCGACACCCAGGAAAATCCACTGCCGAGCTCATCACATGTACCACGATTGTCTTACTAAAATGATCTGCGTCGCCTCTCTCCCCTTTTTGTGTCCCTGTCCCCTGGCCCTGGTCCCTCTGAACTTCCCTGTTCTCTTCAACTCCATGTCTGTTTTGAGATGCGCCTCTCGCGATGAGGGCAGGCGTTATAACTGCGCTTCTTAGTTTGCTTGCATTTACGGGCGTGTTCGGGACTCCAAGCTTCGACACGAGTCTTCCAGATTGCGCGGTTTGTGAATAATTGACTTTATGGTAGTTCTTGCTAATTTTAGTAGCAAACATGTTTTCGAGCGTTGGCCAGCCCGGACTGCAACGAGCCGAGTTGCTTCTGCACCTCTACGACCTTTCACAATGACTTGATACCCTGCCTCAAGAGCCATTGCCAGATTCCACAAGTCTTCGGTACGTGATGCCCAGATCGGCTGGCCATCTTAGGTTGACTGACCGACCCAGCGTCGTTGCGATATCTCGACCAAACATGCGAGCGACCACGACGCGACCGAAGGAACGATGCCTGGCCTTACCTATCGATCCACATTCTTTGCATCCTTTGTGCAGTCATTCGAGTTTACACAAAGCTATTCATTGTCAGGAAGATATCACCTGAAGATTGGCTGTCTTTCACTTCTCTAATCATTTATGTTGTGTATTTTGGCATTGGACACCACGGTAAGGAATGAAATGGACGCTCAAGAACTGGCTAATACAATGCAGCGTTGATGTCGGCATTTGGGCAGGATATTTGGTGGGTCAACGCAGATGATCTATCCCATGCGCTCAAGGTATCACATGCTGCCTACACCTCTCATTTGTTTGAAGCTAACGTCCCAAGCTATTCTGGATCGACTGTCCTATCTACACTCTCCTTCTCGGAATGACCAAAGTCACAATAATCCTGTTCTATATCCGTCTGTGTCACGTTTATACGCTGTTTTGCCAGCTATGTTGGGCTTGCATTCTCATCATCAGTCTCAGTACAGGCGCCTTGATGTCACTGAATATCTTCCAGTGCACTCCGATGCGATGGAATTGGGATCGATTTGGTGGAGAAGATGTCGACTTTTGGTGCATGGACTTGAACAAACTGCAGTGGTCAATTAACATCACCAATATTATCTTTGATCTTGTAGTTCTGGTACTTCCAATACCGCTCATATGGAAAAGTATGTCTGGCCACGTTTTGGAAGGATATGAGCTGACGTTGATAGCAAAATCAACCTTTCGTCGAAAACTGGGCATTGTCTTGATGTTCAGCCTCGGGGTCGTCGTCCTCGTCGCAAGCTGTCTCAAGATGCGCTACAACGTTCTCTACGGCCACTCTAACAACATAACATGGGACTATATGGATCTAATGGTATGGGCTGGAATAGAAAGCTCCGTCAGTATCGCAGCACCATGTTTACCAACAGTTCGACTGTTTTTGCACAAAGTGTTTCCTGCGTCATTTGGGCGGATATTTGCGTTTGGGTCGCATTGTGAAAGGACGTTGGATCAAGAGATCAAGGCGGAAGAAGAAGAGGTTGCGCAGTGGGCAGCAGATGTTGAAATGACGACGGAGTCGCGACTTCGTGTTGCGAGACCGAGACGAGCGGCGATAAGCTTGGGGGAAGGATCCGAGAATGGAGGGAGGATAAAAAAGAAGAAGGCTATGACGGAAGCAAGCCGGATTTTGAGGAGTGTAGATGAGATACCATTGTCGCCGTGATGTTCTGGTATCTATCAAGATAAGAAAAATTTTAGCGGTAATAATTAACCTTCGCATAAATTACCAATCTTTATTATAGCTATCTGGTTCTTAGACCGTGACGGCAGGTTCGTGGCGCTTGGATGTTGTTAGACTATTGTAACAGACGGCCTGTTGAATAACAGAGCCAAAGTTAAGCTATTACAGGTTTTTGATAATCCCATTGACGGCGTCTGATCCGATCGTGGCACCTGCACCAAAAGTGATTGCATGCCCGGCCCTTTTTGCAAAGTCTTTACCGTGATGATGCTGCTAAGACTATTAGCAATGTTCTGAGTAGAGTATTCGGTTCATAGAAAAACAAACCTCTTCATGTTCATGCGCTTCTTTGGGCTGAGGCGGTGGCGCTGACTGTTCCTTCTTTTCCTGTACTTAATTAGTCAGATCAATGTCGATGTGAATGGGAACACTTACTCCTTGGTCTTTTGTCTCAGGCATTGTGGCTCTTGCTGGACTTCTATCGTACTGGAAAGGGGCTTGATTAATTTCTAGGCCTTGTGCTGCTAAAGAGTAAATAAATCAGGAGATACTATGCAAAGGCTTATATATAACTCTGATGACTTGGTCTAGGAATTATCTAGCGGAATGTCAGCAATGACGTGCATATGGTAATTATGACGAGCATTGTGTCATTAATAAGAGGATTAGGTTTTGCTGAACGGCTAATCGGCAATGAATACATTGAAATGTATGCCATAGTGCAAAGTCTATTATGGGTGAGTATGTCGTCACTTGCCGATATACCCCACAATTCGGCGATCCTATACTGTTTCGTATAGTGTCAATTTATTGCCCGTCGAGGAGTTGAGCGATTCTCAAGTTATGAAGCCAATTACTACTATTTCGGACACAAACAAAAGCTCCATCGTTGAGGCCTTTCACGAATTTTATCTCATCATCTAAAATCGTGGTATCAGTAACTCCTACGTCCTCTCCAAGATCATGCGACAGAGCCCTAAAGTTTGAAGAACAATCTTGGCATCTTCATCGCCTTCACCTTCGCCGTCATTGTCAATTTCATCCAAGGGCGCAAGGATATAGTTGTAATGATCTTTGAACAGCGCAAACCTGTTATTGCAACGTCAAGGTGTTCCCAAGGCAAGAAGACACGCGTGGAACTTCAACCCCCCATGTCGCTGCCATGACGCTATTTCATCATGGCCAATACAAAGAATTGCATACACTCGATAATTAGCCAATACTATACCCTCCTACTTCAAATCAGCTTCGGTAAACATCTCAATCTGGTAATATTCCTCTGTACGCCAATTGCATTGTGAAGAGGGGCCTGTCGACAAAGAGCGCACAGACGACGCTATCTTGAACACTCAATTGAACAAGAGAACAGAAACACCATACGTGGCTGGTTCTGGGTACAAGAATATGGCCTCTTTGACTGTTCGCTGGGAACTACAGCACGTGCATATAATGTTCTGTAATGGGACAAATGCTAAATGCGAACACAGCCCGTAATCGCATCATGTACTGTATTTTACGACCTAATTTGCTGTTCTTACTTTCTCTCTTAGTAGATTTGAACACTCGATGTATCCCTCAGTTGGTTGTGGCGAAGTGTTTGCTATATAATAGGATACTTTCACCTCCAATCATCAACTCCATCACGCACCACCTCACATCTACAATCCAACACACCAATCATCAATATATCAAGACATCGAAACCTCAACAGTTCAGCTCTTCAATCAAGGAAAACCCACCATGAACAACACCCAATCCACAAAGGTGAAGCAAACTACTGTCGATATGGAAACTCTTGATGGTCTATGTCACATTCACATCCTGCACGGATATCGGGTTTGTTACCCGATCTTCTGGGATATTGCCCGGGACTCATTCAACGACCTGGATAAGATCTTTGGTCTCAACGAAGCCATTGATAAGCTTCTAGACTTTGACTTCGAAGCAGAGTCTTCGAACGGATGGTCCATTGAGCAGAAGATCTGGGGAGTCCGCGTTGCAATCGACGTCCTCGAGGACATTGTCGACTCCCCTGATGTCGCCGAGGCCTTCCGTCTCGGTAAGGAGAATGTAGAGAACTGGATCGAGCATGCCCATCTCTTAAAGCCTGGCATGAATGTTTCCCCCTACATGTCCGCTATGCAGGATCCCCTGCTTCGGCGGGAGGTACTGGCCAGATGGATTCCCCACTGTGAATTCAAAATGCCCGCGGTACCTGAACATCTATTGAGGTTTCTCCATTTATCAGAGGGATCCGCGCCGGTTGAGAAGCCTGAGGAGAAGGAAAAGGAGTTCAAGAAGGGAATTGCAATAGGACCCGTTGACGAGATGGCGGATTTGCTTTGCAAGATCAAGATTGATTGATGATGTAAGGCCAAGAGATATTTTGACTATTAGGTACTTTTATTGAAGCAATTGGATAGTTATATCAAATTTACATGTTCCAAAGTTAAATTGTGCTGAAATTGCTGTCCATACTGTTAGTTTTACCGTGATGATTATACTTAATCCTGGTTCCTAACAGTCTGGAGTAAAAGACCTACATGCCTTGGAGATCTTACAACACATTGGTGCAAGGTCTAGAAAACATCACAAAAGTTACATAAACACATCTGATTGATATTGGTGACCTTAGCTCATACATAGTTCATTTTAAGTTGCAGTTGGCAAATCTTTTATTTGCAAACCTGATTGATCCTTGACATTATGTCATTGTCTATCATTATGCCGTGTAAGGGCTCCAGCACAGAATTAATAAACTATTATTGGGGAAGAACGAGCGGTAGTCATGATTTCCTCTTGAACCTATTCTCATCTTCTACATACAAGCTTGAATCATCGGTAGAAAGATGAAATTGCACTACCTCCAGTCCCCCCTACCAGATGTCATAACCACTACAACTGCTTACTCATCGACCACTCAATCGTCCCCAACCGTGTAGATAGCAGTAGCAAGGTACTCGAAATGAAGACTCATACCCGTCTCACCGCAGCATCCCAGGTAGAAGCCAGACTCGTCGACGGCCTGGTCACCAGAAGGAGCAAGATGGTAAATCCAGTATTGCTTAAATGCTGACTTTGGGTCAATGAAGATTGGCGTGATCTGGACCCTTGGGGGGCGATCAAACTTTGTCTTGAAGGTGAAGCGCGTTGGTCGGCCATCGGCGTATCGGGTAATGGTGCCTTTGCCGGCTTCAACCTCACCAATACTGCCGTGCTCAGTGTCTCGGACTGTGCCTAGTTAAGGATAAAAGTCAATATCAGAGAGTTGATAGTTGGAGGTATGACTTGACCTACCTGTGGCGCTCATGATGATGTCTGTTTATATAACTTTGGCCTGTTTGAGGTGATATTTGTGTGTGATAAAGGATATCTCAAGACCTTAGAGAGGGTAGGCGGTCCATGCCTTATATACCCTCCGAGATGGTCTGGGATTTAAGCACCGTTGTCCAAGCCATTTGGGGTTTTGTGCTGTCGAGGGCATATTCTGTCTCAACTGAAAGCTTAATGACATCATGCAGTATGCTGGTGTAATGTAGGTGCGTCTGACAGACAAACATCGCAGATACGAGACCGTCATGTCGACGGTTTCTGGCTTTGGCTGACTGAGGCGAGGCACACATCTCAGGAGAGATAGTCTATGAATACATGACGAGCAGAAGTTTGGTGGGAAGTACTGTTTCACGTTGTATAGGCTAAGATCGGAGCTATGCACGTCGCGCCCCGAGACACGGAACGATAAGACACGGCCTAGATCTCGACTTTCATCCCTATCTATGACCTGTCATCTTGAACGCTAAAGAATCCTCTATATCTCGGCCGTCGCTCGTTCATAGTCAAATGAAAACCCGTAGATTTCTGTCACATTCCATCGCAGGTCTTCCTGCAATCTGAGCTCTTGTGTTCACATCTTGCCATATCTCAAATCACCAAGTCTCCGCGTCTCACTACCCCTCTTCACCGCCTCATGCATAGCTCCAAATAGAGTAATAGGGTTTTCAGCTGTCGGGCCTCAAACACTCGACCCTCTTCAATTGCCAGCCACTCCACCAGCGAGAGTATGACTTCCCAGCCTTCATTTCAGTCATGCAAGGAGTCAGCGGTCGAGCTTCCTGTACTGGCACCTCTGCAAACCGAGACGTGAGCAGCCTCAGTCCGAAACGATGCATCATCAGACACAGTGGAATCTGCTTACTTGAGTAAGAGCCACTATTGCGCGTCCTTACCTTTCAGCTCTCTTCGGTCTGTTTCTCCTTGCTATGTGGCGGACCGTAAACGGGAACGAATGTGGATAATGGCGCAAATGAGCCTATCGGCAATTGTTCCCATGTCTGTAGTACGGTCCGCTCCCTCCGTTCCCGTAGTCTTCCGAAACTTCCCATTGGTCTCAGGACAATATGCTGTGAATCATGCATTGGTGGCAGTCATCTTGACGAGTAGCAGTAGTGAGGTCTTAGGTGACCAATGACATCTAAGCAATCTGAGTCGGTCAATCTAAACGCCTGTCGAAGGCATCACAGCCCTGATAATCTGATTGATGGGGCCTCCCTGACCATGATTCAAGCTCCTACCGCTTACCACTTCCTGAAGCACTTCTCAGACAGTAAGATGCTCAATCGTGCAGCCATAGTATTGTCTTCCTTCCCTTTTGTTCCTTATGCTCCTGTAAATCTAGTTTGAGGGATGAAGGGGAAAAGAGTAGAGAATACTTGCAAGAAGTGGAATTGAGTGCGGTGTTGAATGAAAGGTCGGCGCTTTCGCATTCCAATTGAGATTGCCGCTTTCCCCTCTGTCTGCAAGTCGAGTTGAATCTGCGAAGTGGCTGAAACAAACCGTGATCCTGGACTGGAGGTATGAATATGTTGACTCAGCCATTCCTCAAGGGAGAAAGAGGAGTGATACGTTCTGCGACTCGTCAGAGTACGAAGACACTGCCTTTGCAGAAGGAAATATCACCACGCGGATCAACTGATTAAGGGCGGTATGATGTAGAAGCATTATAGCGATCCTACTGGAGACGGAAGTGAGGTCAGCGCCTGCATGGATCACGAATGGTGCTCGGGCTGGCACTGTTGTCCTTATCTGCTAGCTCCAGCTCAGAAGGCTCCATTGTTTAGCCTGATGTCAGTTGTTATGGGTGTTGGTGATTCCTGTCCGGTCAGTGACGTCAGTGGGTAATTGGGGAAGAAGGCACTTGATGTACTGATGAGGAAGATGAGAAGATGTCGGCCTCTAGGGGGATTGAGAGGATCTTTATACTGTGCATTGTGGGGAGTTAAGTTCGTGCTTGATGTTCTGACAACATCATCGAAGGCGTTTCGAATGGGTTTCCAAGAAGTGAACAGATGGACAAGATTGGGACGAACAAGGGAATGGATTTGAATATAAAACCAAGAGCAGATCGACGCGGGTTTCCATGTGATACATCATTCGTCCTGAAACAGTTCTCAGACTTGAATTCGAGTGCTGTTCTACGGGTTGCGTAGTTATGCTCAAATACGTGGTTCTATGTCAGCGTGGCTCTCAGCCAGCCTACACTGATCAATGCCCTGGACAATGTCTTTATCTCGGTAATGATAACTATGAGTGCACCCACAATTATTCTATCACATATTAAGCACTGCAAATGCATGTGTCCCCAAACAGCCTTGGATAGTGTTTAAATGAGATGACTTCTTATTTAACTATAGACGACAATTTGTGACGAAGAAAAAAGTGCAATTAGCTGAGGAGGCCGTTTCTATTAATTAACTATAGCAGACTAATTAGTAAGAAAGAGGGCTATTTTTAAGATAATATTAAGCTATAGGTCTTTAATAGCCACCAGGAAGCACCTCGTCTCGTAGTGTCACGAGACTGTGCACATACACCATTCTTCGAACAAATGAGGTCAAGATTTTCTCGCTCACAACAAGTATTGAGAATTGTCTAATGGAAGAAACATAGCTTCTATTTGTCTGGTGCCTTGTCACCGTTTGGGAAGTAACATTTTGTCGCTAGCTATGTCACATATGGGCAGAATTGATCATGCTGCTGACCAAGCTGAACTGTTTGCATGTGCTCAAAATCAAGAGAGAACAATTACACACTGTCATGGGATCTTCAGCGACTCGATATAAGCCACGAATAGGCTTTACCAGGTACATACGACCATAGGTAGTGGAAAATACGGGATCCCGTCTGCTCTCCCATAGTCAAGCCACTAACCGGCGGATTAGTAGTTGGGTCGGTGACGACCAGCGAATCCCCGCTGTTGTATGTTTTTGTCGATTGAATTTTTGCCACCAACCACTCAGGCTGAGCCAATGGTCTTGAATGCTTTTGACGTTTTCCATTATCGGGGTTGATCCATTGTTTTTGTCGCGCTAGATCTATAGGGCTGGTGGGCAGGTTGGCACGGCTTGGTACCTTTTAGTTAATGTTGCGTAAACGTTGTGAATACGTCGGTGGAGTACAAAGGATCCAATTTGGCTACTGACGATAACACCGTTCAGTGCGATTACGCTTCTGGGAGTCCTCTTCTACTAGCAGCTGGGCTTAGGCCGTGGGGGTTCATTACCACTTATCTCCACCAGTCTCTCCAAAGTCTAACCTAGTGCCCATACAGCAGATGGCAATCTTCAGCAAACGGCCATAGTTGAGGAGGCATTGCTGAATCGTTTTGGGTTGATGTCACTAGTTACTGAAGAAGCCGAGGATAAGATCAAGGACTAGCACAAGTATGAGTGAGTGAATCAAAGCTTAAAGACTTAACACAGCCGACAGTAAGCCATATTTGAGGATTCATTCAGGTTGGGGAGATTCCGGGAATATCTCCTTAAGATGGTTCACTATAGTCAGAGCCAAATGCAAAAGCTGCCTCAGAATACATGGGTGGCTGTATTCCAGACCTGCTTAGCCAATATCTTCTTTCATGTAAGTGGCAGTTCCTTTCAGTGAGAGGTTGAGCGTCGAAACTAATACTCAGCGCTCTGTATACTTCAACAAGCCCTTTCCATCGTCGGGTCTCACCTTTTTATTACCGTCAATTGCTTCTAAGCCATCTTCAAGCAGGCCTGGGCGACAACATCTTACTCAGCCTTATTCTTCGGCGTGCTGGATTCTCAGGGCTGCCTGCGTTTCTTTGGAGTTCTTGGGATTATGGATCGATAGAGAGGATAAGTTTGAGTATAAGTGGATATCACAAAATGAAATCCTCCTGAATTACAGTTGAATCCCAAACAAGCTCGTAAGCTAACGAAACCAACGCGTTAAGCGCGTAACCATTGAATTGTGGTTGGGCTAGAACATCTCCACTTAGTCGTTATACGACAATCCATGCTTCGATCTCGTATGTTCTAGGATCAGCCATCCGATTCTGTCTAATGAGTTTCAGAAATAACTGGGGTAAGACAAAGAAAAATGCCATTTTGGGTCCGATCTGTGCAAAACTTCCGACAGACTGGGACATTAGCCAACGGCGAATAATTTTCCGGTCTTCGTTATTTTACCATCACCTAAGTCCAATAATCTGAAACATGACACCGAGAATGGGACAGCATAGCGCTTGAGGCTTGTGTTTAAGCCCGAGATGCCGATGGCAAATATGCATATAATAGGCGTGGCCCTACGATTTTAAGCTTATGATCTTATTTTCATCGCAACTCACATTCGTTCATTCACTCTGCTTGGGCCAGAGTCATTTTTCTGTTTCTTTTCTGTAAATTCTTATTCAATCTTTTCTGAAGTCATTCGTTCGCTCATTCAAAATACCATCAATATGCGTGTCTCTACTATCTCTGCCATCTTCAGCGGCCTCGCTGTCTCTGCTATCGCCCAGTCGGATCTCGACGGTTCCGTGTGGAAAGCTCTTCTTGCCGAGCCTCAGAGTAAGCGCGGCTTCTCCGACATGCCTCACAATCGTCCCGTCAAGCGCCAGTCGGGCTGGAACCCGCCCGCGGACTTGAAAGCTCCCCTCCAGGAGGTCTGGGAGCACTACGAGAAGACCTACGATGGTGGACTCGACGCCAACGTCAACACGGGCTTCCATCAGATCATGGCTAACAAAGGCTACATTAACATCTGTGTCCGATGGGATTCTAGCGCAACAGTCACAGAGGCTGAACGAACCAAGATCGCCAGCGCATATAACGCCCAGTACCAGAAGTGGTTCAAGTGGCTCTACGGCTACAACGGGTTCCCTTACGACGAGGTCAAGGTCAATATTGTCGCATATGCCGTCAAGGACAAGAGCCAGCTTCAGGGCTCCACTGCTGGTTACGAGGTCTACACTGAGCTCGATGCTGATGGTGTCCCCATGTGCCCTGTCGCGTGTGCTCGCGATGCTCACCGTGATGGCGACTACAGTGGCTGCAAAGCTGGTGCCGACCGCCACTACGACCACTCTCTCTGGTTGAAAGATGGCCTTGAGGGTGGCTTTGGTCATAACTGGGGTCAGGAGGTTGGCCGTGAGTACTTCATGAACAACCTTGACTCTGACAGCATCCACATTCTTTTGCACGAGATGGTACGTCTACAGATACTTCTATTCATGGATAAGACTGACGGGCTATATAGGGACATACCTTTGCTCTCGATGATTGTAAGTAATCCCTCCCTCGCATCAAGAGATGCCTGCTAACAATTTCTAGTCTATGGTACTTTCCAACCCCTGACAACCCACTTTATATTGATGACACTAACTTGAACAGACTGGACTCCCACTGGTATCACCAAGTTCATCATGCTTGCTGGTGCCTCCATGGAAATCACCGACTTTGACGGCTGGATGTACCGCAACTGGTGGTACTACCTCTCTCAAAAGAACAACTGGGGTTCCGGCAAGTCCACCACTGACGTTGCACCTGCTTCATCCGAATACAAGCCTACCACTAAGACTGCCGCATCCGCAGCCAAAACTTCTACTCCCAAGCCCAGCACCACCACCAAGGCCGTTGTTACTAAGCCTGTCTCCACCGAGAAGGCTACCGATACCAAGGCTCCCGTTACTCAGGTTCATTCTGTCGGAACCACCTCTAGTGCTGAGGTTGCTCCCTGGGGTCAGTGTGGAGGTATCAACTGGACTGGTGCCAAGAAGTGTGCTTCTGATGCCAAGTGCACTAAGCGGAACGATTACTACTCCCAGTGTGTTGCTAACTAATGCTGTTGCAGCTGACAGTGTTGTGCGGGGATGTGAAGCTATTCTTTGATGTTGAACTAGCAAGATAGTTGAGAGGAAGAGATGCAAGCCCGCAAATAACACATGTATATTGAAACTTGTTGAAGAATGGCTTGTTTCACCGTGATCCGATACAGGAAACTGTGGCGCTTGATGGCGTTGAAGCGCGTCACATTCAGTTGCTCTAAGTGCATATAGTTTCTTGTAACATGGCCAAATGAGATATTGATTATGCACATTGGTCTGTGGTTCTACTATTAAGCAGACAAATAGGCCAGTATGGGATCATGAACAGATGTTTAGATGATTGGTACCGGCCATTTGATACATCGAATTTGATTAGCTGGTGTCTGCCCCTGACAATGCTTTTCTGTCTGTTACTGCAATCTTAAGAGGTAGCCATAGGCTTATAGTTCATGCCAGGCTAGGTACAATGTCGCTTTGTGACCTCAGTCACTCCTAAACTCCAAACCAGCTAAACGTGCGGCTCCGCCCCTTTCATCCATACTGGACTTCTTCGTTAAAGGTCGTCGCTCCAAGTCACATCTGTCCACTTCAACTCGTTTAAAAGCATAAAAGTTCCCAGACCCCACCATTCCTAACCAAACCTGTCCTGTTGCCATCTCACTGCCCCCATCCGTATGATCAACCTGACAGTTAATGACGGACTTCCCGACGACCTTGTCTGGAAATGATCTTCCATGGACAACCATAAGAGCCAAGACCGCTAACACAATCAGGGAGCATAACTTGAGCTTCTCAACCTTTTCAGTGATTGCATGGCTGGCTCGTACATGACAGTGACGGATATCGGGGACCCATGGCATATAGGCACACACTACGATGCCGAGAAGCAGATAGAACTCAGGGTCGCATAGGTAAGTTGTGACAAAGTCGTACTGGTCCTGGAAAACCCAGAGTCCTCCTCCTCTAGTGGGCATTCTTCTGTTGTGTTCTCAGAGGTGTTGATAATGGAGATGTAGATATTTAAGGAGGTTTGTGCAAGCTTGCAAAAGCGGTGACGGAAGAGGTTGTGGGCGAAAGAAAATTTTAAAAAGAGAAGGTGACTAGTACTAATGATATGACACTGCCAGTGCTTCTCACAACAGTTGTTCTTGCTGAGCTCTGGCATAAAGCTTTCAGCACGTTTCCTGCCTGATAACTCACTGAATACTAAGAATCTCTTGGCCAGTCATTGCTAGGTCAGTGTTTCAAGTTGATTGGCACCTTGGGAAAAGTCTGTTGTTCTGGTCGACGATAAGGTATCAGAATAGGCGACTACATCGGCAAGCGCCTGTATCGAGACTGCCTGGTGGTGTAACAATAAATCCACCTGACATATTGAATCTGCAAGTTGTGTTCATGGAGGCAGATTAACATATGTGTGATACGGCGATGTACACGGCATGTGTTCTCGTTAGAGATGTTGTATGTTCGCGGATTCCCTTAAGTTCATCAACGAATAGAACATCCAGAAAGTAAGGATCGATGAGTCCAAGAACGTCTGATACGATGCAATATGTTTAACACTTGCTATCTTCCACTTTACTAGCGAGGGCCTTTGGTGAAAGATACCCACCATGCAATGCAATTGGTCTGCGTCAAAGAACAAAGAGCTATGTTACCCAACATGATATGACTTTGCAATTCTTGGCTTCTCAACTCTTAGCTATGCCCGCAATTCCAAAGCGCTATTCGATGGATCCGACAGCAATTCATGTTCCTTTCTCTTCATCTGGACAACCTTGCGGACAGCGCCGGCAGCGTAAATGGCAGAGACAAGAATACCGACAATACTGTATCCAACAATCAAGGCTGTAGATGCACTAGATAACTGCAACCCGATGCCTCCGTTGATGATGCCGACAATCATGATGGCTCTGCCGTACCAAATATGTCCATAGCTGATTGTCGTTCGACGTTGGTACTTGACATAATTCCTGTGGTGCATCCATCCCAAAATAGGCTGCACGATCATCAAGACGCACACTATTGTCCCTAGGACAACGTGAGGTTCATGGAACCACTATAGAATGTTAGTTACTGTTTACAAATGATGTATGCGACTTACGTCTCCTCCGCGATCAGCAGCGATTTTCCCAATCCCAAAGCCAATCCACATTCCTACAAAGGCGATGATCTGCCACGATGCATGAATAAGCCATTTCCCAAGCAGAGGCATAAGAACAGAGCCAATTGGGAACCCGATGAGGAAAACGACGGCCATGATAACCCCGTGTGCTGAGCCAGTATGATCTTCACCTCCGCCGCCGCCGGAGACAGCATTGTCGCTTGGTGTAGTGTTGGACGCGTTGAGGAAAGGGTTGGATGTGCCGCTGACGGTAGCTTTGGAAAGATCAACAGAGAAACTATCCGTTCCATCATGCTCAGCAAAATCACTGCTTGCATCGCTTGTGTCCATAGAGCTACCCTTCTTCCAGGCACTGATCCAATTAGCAGTTCCTAGTATGCTCGCATCTTTCCAGTAGATGTTGGCAACCATCGAGCCATTCGACACGCCGCTTCCCTCGACAAGCTTGATGCTGCTCATGGCCTGGTACGTCGGCGTATCATGACCGTGTCCCTTGCGAGTGCTCAAGGTGACATTGCCCGAGCCATCTTGGTATATAACGAGCATCGTGGAGCCGCTCATGCGGGAGCCGGTGCCGAGGGCGACCCATTGGTAGGTGGTAGGGGCTTCAAGGCGAATGTAAAGTGAGGAGGTTGACGATGGGACAGCCCAGTTGTAGCAGACTTTGCTTGAGGATGCATCGCAGTAGGACGCCGGGGAGGCATGTACGACGGCGGCAACTGAAGGGAGTGATCGTAAGTCTCTGGTCACTACTGAAGGGGTTAAATACTCACAGAGAGCCAAGACAAAGGCAAATACAATGTCTAGAGAACGAGTCATCTCAATATAAAAAAAGCAGACAGATTGGAACGGAAACAACACGGCAAAACGCGACTGAATTGCTGGGCGAAATTGCACAGCATCGATCTGGGTCAATTTCCTCCTTATACCCCAAGCCACCTGCCTCGAACCGAGGGTAAACATCCTCTCACTGTGAAAAGCATTCCAAGCCACAAAAGCCAAGCCTACGTAACCCTCCCAGCGCGAAGGTTCCTAAGCCAGCCAATCGCGACACCCGCAACTCTGATGACCAGCTTCTAGACCCAGCCTAAATTAAGCATTCGCCGATCAACTACGGGGGATTGTGGCCTGTGCCTGCCAAGAGATCTGTTTTTCATGGCGTGGAGGCATGAGTTTTCCTGTTTTAGGGCTGGTGACTTACGTGGCCGGGAACAATACGACTTTGATCTGACGATGGCTGTGTAAGCCATGAGTTTGAGAATATGCACTGCGCAGTTTAAATCAAGACAGCGATGGCAGATTTGTCCTGGCAATCGTTTGCTAACGGTTAAGTCTAAAGGCAAGTCTAATTGATTTTTCTCTACACAGTTGGCAAAATATGTTGGTTCACAGTCGCCGCTGACTTGATTTATTAATTCGAGGCACAGTAAAGCGGCCACTTGTTAAATGGAATAGTTAAAGATACTGTTATTGGCCTCATTGGTAGTGCCAAGTCTGTCTCTGTCTCTAATTGCCGAGTGCACGGGTCATTCTCGCAGAATGGTGATCTGACGATGCACGTCACGTCCGCGTTTTGATTGGCTGCGGCAGCAATGGTCCATACCTCCATCGTACCCCTGAGAACTCGGACTGCGCCAGCTTGCGTGTCCATTAGCTTGATTGATGTATTGATTCCTGATTATTTTCCAAACTGAGGTCGCGCAACATAAGCTAAACGAGCAGCAGTCCTCACTCACTGGCTTTCCCAGCCTATGCCGTCAATGGTTAATCCTGTTCCCACTGGAAGTCCTTCCCACCATATGCAAGGAGCAGCTGCTGGATAGTCGTCGTTGTTGGCATGATTTCATTGTCGAGAAGTTCTATCAAAGACACCCATTTTCCACTTCTGCAAATGCAAAGAGGCGACATACCATGGAACTGTTTGAAAATAGCGATTGGGCTGTTGTCTGGCCAAGCGCTACTCAGCGGATCGCCAATATAATTTGGATCAGCCCCGAAATGCAATAGTAAACGAACCCCTTCCAGGTTTCTACCCGCAACAGCTATCTGCAGTGGTGTGATGGGATATCCCAAGATATTGGGTTGAGCTCCAATTTCCAATAAATGTCGCAGTGGACAGAAGAGAGGACGATCATATATGGAATCGTTATAAGGATCCGACCCACGATAGCTAATAAGACAGATAAGAGCTATAGATGGGTCGTAAAGTTCAGTGTAGTTGACCAGCAAGCTTTGAAGATGCTTCGATTTTGAAGAAAATATTTGAACCACTAGTTCAATTAGTGATCCATCGAGCTCGAATGTCTCTTTAATGGGGATAACTCGGTTCTCATGTGTATAAGAATTCCAGCCTACTTTCAGTAGTATCCTGTTGCTGAAAAGTTCCTTGATATCCGCCTCCTTGATAAATCTGGATAATAGAGGTGATTGTGGATCTGCCGTTATAAGAAGCAGTGCAAGAAATAAAGATGCATTGCAATCTGTCAAACGTTCATTCCAGTTAATAGACCAGCCCAATATATGTTTAGAGACGTGAATGTCGATGAGGGAATAAGACCACAAAACATGACCTTCACGTTCAAAAAAACATCTAAAGTACTGTGTGGAGGGATGTAGGAGCTTCCTCATCTGCTTATAAAGCTTATCGCTCTCAGATATCTCTCTGGCCCACATCACGAGGCAATCCATTGCATACCAAACAGAAAGCAAGCTGAAGTTACACCAATCATCAAGGTCGTATCGCAAAGAGTTACCCGTTTGGAGGTCTTTAACATCCTGTGACGCGCATTTTTGTGCCTGGAGCAACAGGACATCCAAACATGTGGATAACACCTTGCGCTTCTCAGTGGAAAAAACGAGAAGCGGGCCTTGACATATCCGGGCCGAGTCCAGATACTCCTTGACCGTGTAGTGGGCGAAGGACATATAGTCTTTTTGGCTGCTAATAAGACATCCACAAAGCTCCCGGAGTCTCTCTGAATCGTAAAGAATATGACTGTTGTCATTTTCTGTCTGCAACGTACTGTTTTTGATTGCATCTAACAGAAGAACAGACGGGGTACCATCATTGAAATCCGGGGTTTTGCCGTAGAACCAAAGCCATCGAAAGGCATGAGAAACGAATTGCCAATCCTCTCGTGGTATCCGGAGCAATATGCGGTCATAGGTCTCATCTAGATCTTTAGGGAGTCTTTCCAGAGCCTTACTCACTACCTCACGATCGCCCTTCAAACGCTGCAACTCGTGCAGTTGACAAACGGCCCACCGAAACCTATATCTTGTTAACACAATTCAGTCTCCGCGTAATCGAACGCTTACATTCCCTTTGCCTTCGTACTGACAGCGTCTTCAACCTCAATGAGGAGATCATCAGGCCAGCATCGGAACTTCGGGTTTGATCGTAGGATTGAGTGAACATATAGACGAATATCCTGTTCAACCAGTTCATTTAACATTGGGACGGACACAGACACTTTCTCCATCACTCGTTCGATATCAATATACTCGCGACTGGTGACAAGAATCTGAAGATTACTGAACCTTCGATCATTGACGATGGTATCAATGACCTCGAGGAGTTCGTCACGAGGGTCGCTCTCGTCGACAGCGTCGATCACGATATATACGCAGCTGAAAACCTGAAGAATTTGTTCCAGCACGTCAAGTAGTTCTGGGATGCTTGGTTCCCCACCGCGTCTGAAGAGATCGTGCATCAAAGTAGAAACGACTTCTGCATGGCGGGAAAGCTGAGTAATGGTCCATCTTAAAAATGGCGCTGCCTCATCTTGATGGTGGCCAAAGTAACAGTAGTAGTAGGCGCTCGTACAAGGCGCATCAATTTTCGACACCATCTCGCAATGATCTTGGACGCTTTCGATTAGCCATGATGCCAGGATGGTCTTGCCGGAACCCGGAATACCGTGGACCCAAAGGCATCGGACACTTGAACCTAACCAGTCGGTCCACTCTTGTGAGCGAAGCATCCAACTCCCGGTTCCGTCTTCATATAGTTTGTGCGATCGATTATGAATTGGTGAGGGATCAGTAGTTGTCAGCCAGTTGTACACTCTATGGCGTTGCTCCTCTGTCAAAATGGAGCGGATCTCTTCTGAGGCAGCTTTGATGTCTTTAATATCTTTCGTAACCTCTGTCGTTAGCGCTAGCTGGATACCCTCTCTATGACGGCTGATCTGCTGGAGAAGATCCTGGACTTGGCCCTGCTTCAGAGGCCATGCCAATGTTGCAAATGTTGCTTGGACTTTCTGCCGCTTTGAAGTGTTCTGCCCATTCCGAAGAGATTGTTTCGGAAGCAGCTTCTCCAGTGCTTTCATCGCAGCCCTACACCCTTCGATAGGACCATCAGAAGCTGTTAGTCGATTTTGCACGGCGGGTGTGAAGGTCTCGCATTTTGAAATGAACTCTAGGTTTTCCAGGACGGACTTGAGTGTAGATACTTCGATTAAAAGGGTGCGCAAGCTGGTAGGCGCATCGGAACGGAGTGCTTCGATGTAGAATTTGCAAGTGCTGATTACTTCTTTGGAGATCTGGATGACTGCGATCACGCTCGCGACAACGCCCAGTGCTTCAGCCATTATTTACGCTTGCTTGGCGTAAGAACAAGACTTTTTTGATGTGTGTTAATCACGTTGGTCGATGTAATAGCGCGCATCAAAAGCAACAGGTGAATGACGAAAAAAAGAGATGTCAGGTTTCGAAGGATGTTGGAAAGGAAAATACAGAGGTTCTTGGATTTGTTATTTCCCCGCTGTGGCTATGCAAGGCATTATTATTCGTCGGCTGTCTGCCAGAAATTGGTGGCGTTTTCAACCTGTTGGCAGTGCAGATTATGGTGTATTTTCGCCCAGTCAGCGTTGTTAAAAAGCAATGAGCACCGGCCTCACCGCCTTGAGAATCTCAGCCAGTCCCCAGATGATGCCCTTGCCTACACCATTGTACCTATTGCCCACGGACATGGGACATCATGACGTATTGTGTAATTACAAAATGATGGACGAAAGAGTACGTGGCGGGGGTTGCTTAAACTGTGCACCAGTACGATAAAAAAAGGCCAACGGGTCTGTAAACGCAAAGTATCTTTGTGGTGGTATGTGACAAACATCACAGCTATTTCTACGATTATTGAAGTGTAGAATCTAATCATTGCCGCTAATTTATAAAAGGGGGAGAATTCCCTGAAGGTCGGAAATGCATGACAACAGTGAGAAAACTGTTAACTTCTAGTCTAGTAGTCGGAAGCCAGTATACAAATTTGGTTGTTTGGGCAGGCCTTTTACTAACAAAACAAAAAGCGTAAGAAGACAGTATATACTCAGTCTTTCAGTTAGCCTCATGATGCAGTTTGGGTAATAAGTCAGGTGCTGCTCAGTGGTCTTCTGACTTATGTGCGAATATATCCAGGGTAGCTGGAAACGTCGTTGAAACGTTAGCCTACTTCTCGCTTATCATCAGGTGATTGCTTGTTCAGTAAGTTGACAATAGCTCGCACACCAATACCACTATTATATGTTATTTAGTTCCTTCCCATGGCCAACTATACCTCACAGCCCTTAGTGTATACTCATCATGAACTCAACACGTTGAGTAGGGCCGTAAACGTGACGCGCCAGCTAGCGTGATAATTCTAAACTATTCTAAGTCTGTCTTAGTTAAACTTCGGCATAACTTCGTTCCGCACCCATTTAGAGCAAGGGTATGCCTTCACAGACCTCTCTTAAGGCTATAAGTTCCACTTAATTCTCAATAGCGCTTACGACAAACAACAAACATAAGTATTTCGTGTTGACAAAATAGCTCAAAATGAATGAGAGGTCTCCTGCTGTATATACGTTAGTGAAAGGAACAGGTATGGTCTCAGCAGGAATTATGCAATAGACACACTAATTTCAGCTATAGGTTCCCTGCAGCGTACGTGGTACCTCTACCATCGCCTTGGCATCTGGTCCAACATTCTGGTTTCTGCGCGATATACCTGCGCAAATGGACAAGATCTCAGTCAAAGTGCTATTATTGGAGCACTACGCCTGGTTGTAGAAGCGCATCCCGCCTTATGGCATGTTTTTGTTCAGAAGCCATCTTCCAATCGCGGTAATCACGAGCTGCACACCGCCAGGCTGCACACTATCGACTTGGAGAAATGCATCGAGGTCTTGGATTATGACCAAAAACATCCTGAGGTCACCTCTGACGATCTCGAGAGAGCCCATAATGAGTGGTTGTGGACTGCTGATGAACCTGATCGCCCATTCTGGAAGCTTCTTGTGAAAGGGAATAACATCGTCTTTATCTATCATCATTCTTTAGGCGATGGTATATCTGGAATGGTATTTCATCGTGAATTTCTTACCGCGCTTAACACTCCCACCGTCACGAAGATCAGCGACGGCGCTCGTCCTGATTCTATCATTCATGCAGACGAGAATGTTCAATCGCCCATCGAGCCAGAAGACGTTTGGGAAGGGAAAGACAGCATCTTGGAGATAATTTGGACACAGTTAGTGTGGTTGTTTGTGAAACTATTCTACGGGACCAATCGTATCTATGGCGATCTTCCCCCATCCAAGCCTCACGTCAAGTCTGCAACTGCAGTGGCAAAGCCAGAGGAGAGAACCGTCACTCGCATTTCGTCATATCGTATCCCAGCAGAAGACATGTCATCAATACTCAAAGCATGTCGCAAACACCAAACCACCTTCACACCTCTACTCATTACAATGTTTACCATCATTCTTGGCACGGAATTCTACCCAAACGCAAAGATCGGTGCAACACGCTTCAATTTTGATTTGAGACCCAGCCTTCCCATGTCTCGTGTCGGTGGAGGAACAGCCAATGGAACATTTGTAAACGCGGCAGGAAGCTGGCAGAGCTGGCATAAACTTGAGCCATTCCGTCAAGTCCTAGTTACGAAAGGTGATGCCAAGGAGACGCCGCTTGACTCCCAGTCTGTATGGGAGCTTGTCAAGGACTATAAGAAAGATATGACACGGGCTATATCTGGCAAAGCTATAAGATACTGGATCGGGGTGAAGCGACTGGGAACTGACCTTGAGAAAGTTGTTGACAACGGCTTTCCGTCTATATCCCTCCTTCTAAAGCCGACGTTTAGCGTTTCCAACATTGGGTCATTCGATAATGACAAGGTAGAGTACGTTGGGAAGAGCACAGGTATTTGGCAGATTGATGATATGCAATTCTCTGCTGGAGCGGTAAATGGGAACCAGGGTACACACGGGGCTATCTTCCATGTTTGCGGTGTCAAAGGGGGAGACACAGTTATCACTGCGACTTACGAAGATGGGATTGTTCCGCGGGAGATGGCCGATAAGATCCTAGAGCGTACGGTTGCTAGAATGCTCGAGATAGTCTAATGTAATAAGCAAGCTTGTGTTAGAATAGCCTTCGACACCTTATGACCTGTTCGCATTCCTTCATCCCATGGCCAAGGGTTGATTGACTGGCTGAGGTGTCGATGCACATCAAGCAGTTCCATCTTTGATATAACGCCATGTCATCCGCTTGAATATCCGACGGCTTTTCTTCTGATAATGTTATCCAATGCAATACTGGTTGCATTTAGCTCTACCTGGAATCAACGGCAACTGAATTAGCCATGTAGCTGGAGTCACCAGCGTTTTAGGAGGCGAGAGTCATTCGGGCCTTCAAGCTCATGCGAATGGAGAATTTGCAACTGGATTGGGATGTCTCCGCTTTATGCCTAAAGCTTGTTTTAAGTACTACTGGTAAAAGTAACCCATCATAGAAAGAGCTTTCCCCATAGTCTATCAGCCAGTATCGGGATTATTGGAAGAGCGATATAACGAGAGCAAGGCTGCTAAGAGAGGACCTAAATGTCAAGGTAAATAAGCTACTGTATGCTAGTATAAAAACGAAGACTGGTGCGATACATGGTTCATGCCAGGCAAGCAAGAGTACGACATAATTCTGTTCCTAAATATCGACGATTTGCATCATCGCAAATAAATACTACAAAACCCCTTACACATTCCTCCCCCAGTGTTATTTATAGCCAAAGGACGTCATGGGCCGCAAGCGGTATTGCTCGAGATGCCAATTGGTTCCCAGACATTCTCAGGGAGCAACGGTCGTATTCCCAATTACTCAGATTTCGTCTTCGGGATAGTCAATTTCACCCTCCTCCCCTTCATCGTAATAATCGTGATCGCCCATGGCTTCTCTCTCCGACTTTAGATACTCGTTTATCTCTTCTTCCCGAGGACTTGGAAGGCCAGAGTCTTCAGTGTATGTGTAGCCAGAGCGCCGCATAAGTCTGGTAGAGCGTCGGCGGCCGCCTCGTGCTTTGAGTTGTCTTGTTCCATTGACAAGCGTGAAGCAGTAGTTCTCTCGCATCTTTTCACGCCAATAGCCAAAAATTCTCCTCAATTTGCTTTCGTCGCGGTTAACCCAGTCCGCTGGATATCGTTCCTCATGAGGATTAGGAAACATCTGCCCGCACACTGTAAAGTAGTGCAAGTCATCGCTGTGTAGAAGGCTGTTTAGCAGAAGATGCCCAGTCTCCCTGAGGCGGTTGAGTTGACGTCCGCGTCGATATATGTCCATGCGGGGAGGCATCATTAGTTTTGAGTGGACAGCAAGCTGATGATTGTTGATAGTAGTATTGGATGGATTTAGGTAGTTGTGTGGAGGATGCGGATGAAGGAGAGGGAATTCGGGAGGAGAAGAAGATATTTAAATGGCAGGTTTCATTGAATGCATTATGGGCTTTGGTTACCTCTAACAAACGTAAATTTAATGCTCCCATCCCTCCCATGTATGAACCAGGCAACATCGCGACGGACTCTTTGTTGAGCAAGTTGTTTGTGAAGAAACTACGAACTACGAGGACAATTAAATATACATTCTCGAGCGTCCCACTGTGTTATTGTGATTTGATATACACCGCAATTCACTAGCAAGCCAACTAGCAAACGTTTGGCCGCCTTCCTTTCAGCGCTTATTTGAGCTTTCTCGTCCTTTGCCACCAATTCATTGAATTATGGATAATTCTCAATTCACTCGATACCGCAAACTTTTCCCTTTATTCCTGACCTCATTTTTTATTAACTCTGTCCTTTATTTGCAAGGCTCTTTTACCATCAGGTTATTACGGAGTCATTAACTGAATTCAGATATCCCAAGGATGTCATTAGACTTGGCAAAAATGTAATTGGTAAGTTTTGGCAATTATCTGTATTGATGCAAGAAGACCATGCTCTGCAGGGGACAAAGAGGACTCTAGGTGGTGAATCGCTTATCGCTTGGCCCTTCTCCAGTACTTGGTCGTAGAATGGCTTTACTTGTATTGTCCTATCGGAGTTGAATATGTTCCCAATCAGTTCCTCGTAATACACTAGTGAGTAGACCGGTTCTCGATTCATCCTTACGGTCCCTTGCGAGCCATACGGCCCCTAACATCATCCTGGATATTAGGATTATCCCCCAATTCTCTTAAAAGAAATGACAAGATTGCCCCATGCCCATTGTTCTTGGCACACGACAATAGTGTCTTAATCACTGGTTCCAAGCTTAAAATTTCCTGTTATGAGCTTTAACTGAACCATTCCCAGGTTGCCCTTTTCTACAGCTTGGAACGGCGATTCCAAATCATGTGTTGCCCCTCCTACTGTGAGCAGCACCCTCACGACTGCGACATGCCCGTTCTGAACTGTTGTTCCACATGCGGATTTACCAGCTTTGTTCTATGCATTGAAATTAACATTATACGTCTCAAGTAGCCATCTGGTGATTTCCTCGTACCCTACTGGCTGCATACCATAGTACAGTGTATCCATGGTCATCGACAGCATCAGGGACCACGGCCTCCATGTCAAGGAGCAGGCAGATAACTCCAGTATGACCACCCTTCGCAGCTTCCATCAATGGTGTTGCGTCATTTCTATTCCGCAACGTCAACGTTGACCCTAGTACTACCCTGTTGAGCTCGTAATCTGACAACAGCCTCCTGTCATTTATGAGCTGCTTGCCACAATAGCGTCTATCCAAAATCATTCTTGGAATTCGGGTTCACCCTTAGATGTCCCAGTAGCATGTTTACCGCGGCAAGACTTCCCGCCGCGGGCGCGTAATTTGGAGGTGTCCCCAAGGAATGCAGCAACATTACCAGTGCCACCACTTTCCGCAGCATATGGAATATGCTGTTTCACCCTCAGCGGCCATATTTGCAAACTCTGGTTGATCGACATTGCAGCTCTGTCACCGCCAATCTTGAGCGCTGGTGTATTGACCCGGCCACAATCTGTGGTTGCGTCTTTCATAGCTTCTGCGACATAAGCATAGCGGTCAATTACCTCATTAGCGGAACTCGGAAATTGTGGACAGACATCAGGCTTTTGCTGCGACAGCCTAAGAATACCGCGCATTCTAAATCCTTCTGTGTTGGTGCCATCTGATAACCCTAGTCTTTACATCTATCCTATGGCAATTGCTTCGCGCTCGGTATTCCTCGTTGCCAGACACGCCCCCACCTAATGATCAGCCATGGGAAAGGCTCTCTACGCCTATCTCAGACGGTAAGGCTTAAGGCTCTAGATATCCTATACTGTATGGTTTCTCTAGTGCCAGTTAAGAAGATAAGAATAATAATTAAAAAAAGAAAATATATTATAGCTTTATTATAGAGTTTAAGATCATAAAGCCTTTATATAGTAAATATATAGATATTGCAGTTAGGAACTAATCTGGCTTGCACATAATATACAATACACAGTGAAGAAAAATTCGCATAGCAATGGCCATGAGCATATTGTAGTTGCATTTCTTCTAGTTTATCAATCTAAGCTAAGTGAAACCCGATACCATGACTGTTTCCACCATCCAGCGCATTTTACTATCGGCAGTATGCCACAAGGCTCATGGCAGATCCATGAGCATCGCTAGTTAAGGAAAAGCAAGGCAAAGATGAAACGAATGACTGAGTTTGAAATAAGCTACACAAAGGGAAACTGAGTAAGCTGAGTAGGAGCCACAAGCCAGTTCATATAAGGATAGGTGATAGCGAGTGAAAAGGGTTGAGGTGACTTACAAAATCGACAAACTAATAGCTATAGTAACCTCCTCGATGGGCACTTCTGCTCTCAGCCATACTGTCTATAATCTCGGTGATGCTCTTAATGAAAGCAAGAGTAAACATAAAAAGCATCAAACACAGGCTCCAGTACACCGCCCGCTGACAACGAGCAAGAAATTGCAGCACAAAATCGTATATCGTCAAGACGATCTTTACAGCAAAGTCCTTTAAGCAAATCAGGCAGAACATAATGGGGAAGAGAAGGAGGAGAAGTTTGACGCACTCGGCCACTGGGAGATTAGCTATCATGAGTTTTATGTGAGTGGATGCCTGTGTTGAGAGATGTTGGTGGGTCTGAGGTTGTGACTGTTGTGACTTGCAGATGTTGGTCAGAAGATGGTTTCTTGCAGATGGAAAATTGAAAAGGGAGTAGTGGCTGAGGATCTGTTTCATATATAGGCTCAAGTTTAGCATTGATGTTCTGTTGAAATGCAACGAAACACAGTGCCATAAGGTACATTGACCAGAACACGACTACGTCTTCTTACGAATAATAGCTAAGCTTGTCGTGCGTCTATTTTGAGTCTCTGAGCTATAGACACACCACACACTCAACGATGAACAAGATGTTGTTTTTAATTTTGAACATTCCGGCTCACGCGAAAATAGAATTAACTACTAAACGGATCGATCAATTGGTCTGTTCTCATCTTTGATGAACAATTGTGAACAGACGTCTGCGCCGAAGCCCAGGTCCTAACCCATCCTCTATGCCACGATCGGAAGCCCAGACTTTTAGGCAGCAGATACAATCAGCACCAACTTATGGAGCGATGTATTCTTTGACAGAATACTCAGTTTGTCGTAGATAAATCAGAGAAAGGTATCTTGGCGCTCGAATCTCTGTCTCAGGAACTCGACGTGACGTCAAATATCAATCGCCCCTGCATGATTCGTGGCTCGTGGCGGTTATTCAATTTCAGAACGCGTGGCCAATTGGCACAACGCTGTTGCTAAATCTGCTACGCTGTGATGTGGTCAGAAGCTCATCCAACGTATCGCCCTTTCTCTTTGCGATGCTCGTTTTTCGCTTCTGCCGTCGAGGAGCCCCCGTTGTCAAGAAATCTATCCTTCTGATAGCCCAGTCGCATCATTACTGCCAAGAAAGTGGCTCTCTCAAAGGGCGACAAAGAAAGATGTAAGATATCGTAGTATATATCTAATCTCATCACCGGCAAGGTACTTAGATGTTGCCAATGACAAGACTTTGGAGTAATTTTTTCATCAGTCAACCGGATAACATGCTCGAATACCAAGAACATGCCACTGTAATAAAGAATTACCCAAAAGGTTTGGAATTGCTGTATACACTTTGGTGCCTCAGAGTGGGCGTGTGATACCAAAGTCAAAGACAACTTAGAGAAGCTCAAATCATTCAAGATTTTTCCTGTTCGTTACTTATATGTACCCCACCTGCTGCACCTTCTACTCTCTATCAAGTCTGACATTTTCTCTTGCATTCTTCTCCCCCAATTTTGCTGTAGCCATGGCGTCGGCCGCATTGAAAGTCATTGATGACATCAGCTATTGGGACAGTGACGGTTTCCGGACAGTCAAAAATATCTCAGATGACCAGCGCGATACTCTTAACGAGTATCTTTGTGGAAAGATACCGCATTGCCGCGTGTCTCGAATCATTACCCTTCGTTGTTATGGAATGCCACGGTGGTCCGCCAGACGACCCGCCGTTTTCCGTCGCTGGGGCCATTGTCATTTGGAGGGATGCCAATGACTTTCCCTTCAAGCCTATAGTGGGTGACTTTTGCATTTGGAGACGTAATCGAAGTCGAGGACGATGTCATTGATCAGATTGTCTGGATGGAAATACCTTCCAAAAACATCATCCTTTATCTTGCCAACCTCTGGCTCGCGTGTCAAGCCATCACTTTTCTGTGGACAACACTGGTAGTTGAGCTGCCACTTATCAGCCAAGAGCATCATTGGGAACAGCTACAAGATCTCCCTGGGGATCTCGAAGGGTCTCTCAATGGGTGTTGTTACATGCTGATGTTCAACAATGGTCCGTTACCAAACGCGGAAATCACACGCGAGTCAGAGCTCAAACCGGATCCCGAACAACTCTTTAGGCCCGCTAATCACAAACTTGGGGATCTGTTCCTTGTCGACTTTGCCGCTGGAGTGACACAAACAGTATGCTACTTTGGTCGACGATTCACTTTCGACTGGAAAAGGGATGCCCCTCATGATTTTGAGACGAGAACCAGCCAAAGCGAAGACTCGGTCCATGGCGTCAAGTACATTGCTTTTGGACAAGCTGCCTTTTTGTCAAACGCACCCGAAACCGCCACGGGCTGCGCGTCCGTGCCTCTTCGATCTCGCAACGAATCACTCAGACAGCGCCAGCCTCCACAGTCAGCTGTACAAGAATGCGGCATCCTCTACATGGCCAACGATCAATTGAAGAGCAGCAGCCGAATCGACACTTTCATCATGTATGCCGACTCGTATGATCCCAAGATTGATGAACAAAGCTAAATGGACTGTGATGGAGGTGGCTATTCGTGGCTGTCGGGCACAAACATGCGCCACCAATAAAGATAAAGCAGTAATGGTCAGATGGAAAGCAAGAAAGTCTATCTCGGGCTGTGATGACATGTGGGTGGTGTTGCCTAAAGTGTGTTTCAAAGCGTCTGATTTAAAGTTGTCGCGCTATAGCCCTGTCGTCAAACAGCCAATAGCTAATAGCGTTTTATATCAACACATAAGTTAAACATTTAGGAATCGTGACGCCTACATTTGGGAATGACTGGGGCAGAGTCTGCGCCCATGCAGCAGCTGTCAAAAGTTTTGCCGTTGCAGGCCTTTGTCAACGTTCTTTGATACGGATCAGTAGGGCCAGTATCTTCGTCCCGAGAAAATAAAAAGACGCTACCACATATCAGGTTGCCTATAAACTCTACAAACACAATACCATGAGCATATTAAATTTTCTCTGTTGATAGGAGCCTTCGCTACAACTCCCCAGACTATTTGCACTTCTTGAGTCGTGAGGGTTCATCTGACATGCATGGCCGGGTGATGCATAAAACCTCACGTGAAGGCTTCCTAACTTGCAAGATCGGGCATACGTTATTCCCCACGATGCTTCAATAGTAAGGAATGCGGAAGATGCTTTGCAAGGCAGAGAAGATCACAACAGCCACATCCAGAATTCGGGCAATGGTGCCAAGATGCAAGGGAGAGCATTAGCCCACTATCACGACAACTATTGTTTATGCACAAAGAGGTGAAACAGAATGTCGATAGGGCTAATGTGAACAGGTGTTCAAATGTGGGTCCACACTGTTTATCGCATTCCTTGCGTCAAGCCGATTAAACCATCTTGACGGAAACCTGAGCAAATGCTCTTGACAGAGGAGGCTGGCTGAGACTTACTACCAAAGCCACATGGGAAGGGAGGAAAAATAAAGGGGGATAAAGAAAGACCTTGCGCCAGTCTGTCGCACCACTGTGTTCTTCCATCAGCAATGTCCTAGCAAACAAACAATGTCACAAGACAAGGTGTCAGCGCGACTTTTAAGGACGGCTGTCTTCATTACTGGCATACTTGTATTTCTTGCACTTCCTTTCCTTCCAGGGAGGCCAAAACAAAATGGCGTAAAACCAGTGAGAATTTTACTTCACTCTGAGGAGCCGCATGAACCAAATGAGCCAAATGAGTCAAACGCGCCGAATGAACGTTTCCTCGTCGCATTGTGAGCATCATCTTGGACTCGCCAGATTGAACAGTTTTCTGATACCATGAAGCGGCGATTCCTATAGCCGCAGCGGCTTCCGAACCAACTATACGTATACAAGGACCGGACCCGGAGTGGATGACATGCAAAGGACAGAACGGCCAAAAGGCGACCGTGTAGACGCACCCAGTGCGCTAAATCCAATCGGCAATCCAGCGTTGCCGGGAAATACATCGTCTGGTGGTAATAATTGGGCTACATACATGGCAACGGAATTCAACACTACGCTTACTCTGGCGTATATCTTTGCCCGATCTGCGGCGGTGGTGGATGCAGAGGTAATCCCATCGAGGAGCAAGTCATCGTTTTCGTTCGCGCAGCAGATCGTTCATTTCCAGGATGCCATCGGCCATCGTCCTCACTATGCAGCGTGGACTGCCAACAACATAGTTGCGACAGTCTGGTTCGGCTTCAACGACTTATCTGTCGTATCGCACAAGGGAGGTCAGGCCCGTGCATTGGCGGCTGCAAATCGGCGTATCTTTGACCTATCTCAGATCCTCTACGATACTGGAATCCGCAATTTTGTCTTCATAGAGGTCCCACGTAAGCAGTCATTTCTCCTACCTTGCACCCGCTGACAAGTACGTAGCCAAGGAATTGTTTCCTTCTCATCAGGCAAAGAAGTCGAATGATACGCATCATAGGTATGAGATGGTCGCTTACGTTGTGAATCGCTGGAATAGCCTTCTTAGGCAAAACACTATTCGCTTCCGCAAGGCCCATCCAGACGCAAAGGTCGCATGTGTGGAGGTATGGGACATATTCTATGAGGCTTTCCTACGGCCCCAAAGTCTGGGCGCACCAAACTCAACTTGTCTTGATCCCAGCGGCAAAGGCTGCGTAAGTCATCGTCATGCAGAGCTTCCATCATTTACTGACTGCTTTAAGTTATGGTCCAATACAGCGCATCCTGGGGAGAAGATCCATCAACTCATTGGCGCTAGAGTAGCTGAAGAGGCTTGGGGCTAATGTTGCTGTCTTGTAATATTGGGATTGCTCAGTTGTAGGTGTATATATAAACACAAACACGCTACATACTGCATCGCCTCAAGTTTTACTTATCTACTGTTTCATATGTCAAGCCATTTGGTCAGTATATGCTATGTTTACTATGCTGACTTGTATTGTCTGGTGTAGCATGGCTAGAGTCTAATCACAACTTAGACAATGACTGAATGCCAGGAAGAGTTGGTTGCTTAGGTGTAAGGCCAGGTACGCAGCACAGCTGCTGCGTATCGAAGGGCGAAAGGAGTGAGCCATTTAATACAGCATAATTGCTTCGGGGTGTCAGATCAAAGTGAAGTCAGGGGCTTGTTCGTCTGAATAATAACTCGCCGTTCTTATCATCCTAGACACTGTGCGAACACAAGATGTGGAGCGACGGAACAAAACGCAAATAATGTTTTAATTGGTCAAAACAATGAAAGCTTTATTTAGAATACCGGTGCAATGGGATCAAAAAGTACACGAGTTCAGTGGCAGCTAGATCAGGTCTTTGGGGTAGAGATTAATCACAATTAAAACAATCAGTGGTCTTTCTTGGTGCTATTTTAGTCTGTTGCGTTTAAGTGCATCAATCCTTATCTGGTCTTATCAGCTCATCATCGCCCCGCTTATCCAATAAACTGAACCAACGCCAAGGAAACACCAAAATCAAACATAGCACGATCAACGCATCAATTCAACATCCAATATCAAAGCAACATTGATCTTCAAGCTCCCTTTGTCGACTGGACGCGAAGTTCGTTCAATGACTGTATCTCGAGATGAGCACTACAGTCCGCACGCAGAACAACCCCAGCCAGACGCGTCATCTGCATGGCCCCGTCTGTTTCGCGTCATCGTCCCATTTGCATCGCACCGCGTCTACTAAATTAATCAACTGCAGGCAGCCGACATAATTTCGTTGTCGCCCGAACCTCAAAAAAATAGTCAAGGCAATCAACTACCTGCGCTGATTCTCAACCTCCCCAACACCACTCATGAGTCATCTGTGTTGCGCAGCCCAACAAGCGCCACCTGTCGACACAATGGCGCAGAATGAGAGGGCAACGCCGAAGGCGGAATCGCCTGAGAAGGAGCAAGACGCCAGAAGTCATCGAGACTCCTCGGTCGAGTCCTGCATCGTTCTGGCAATTTCGACAATCGTCGGTCGAGCTCAAGCGGAGCCAATGTCAGATTCTGAGCCATCTACTAGCAAGGAGGGTACTGCGCGACCAGTCGAGGAACCGGTTAAATCCGAACCAGAAGAGCCTCCTAGCATCCTAATGTCGTTGTCATTGGTTGAGCCCTCTAGCCAGTATAAGGCAATAACTCCCGAACCACTAGAACTTCCTTACCACGATTATCAACAACAGAAATGTGAGACTATCCCGATTCTGGCGGACTACGACATTTCTCAGCAAGAGTTTGAGAAGACTTTAGTGGAGGAGAGATCAGATATGCCTGCAGCAACGAAACATACATCAGGCTCTATATCCGATTCGAGTTCGAAAATGAATGCCCAGGAGGCAACAGCTACATATCTCGAGACACTTGCCATTGAGAACAAGATCGCCAAAGAAGAGGAACTACAGAAGAAGCTGCAGGAAAAAATGGATTACAACTGCAATGTCATCCTCGATTGCGATGTCAGTATTGACGTTGAGCGTCGTGCAATCAGCAGAGCCAGAAAGAGGAGAAGGCCATTCTGGATCCCATGGTTCATGGAACGTCAACGCTACCTTACGTCCAAACGCAAGAACCTTCAGAAGAAGAACGCTGAGATGGAGGGGGTCAGGAAGCGGCGCTGCAAGAAGCTTGAGGGGCTGATGTCTGAGAAACAGAGACTTGCGGAGGAGCTTACTTATGATATTTCAACGAGACATATCAAGCCAACATATTAATAAATCCTAATTAACTTCAGTTTTTTAGATGGCGATATGTAAATAGCCTTGACTAAGAGTGAAAAGATGATTCAGCCAAGACAGTCTTAGGGAATATTGGCCCACTATCCCTTATCGACGGAAATAGTATGGCACTCTTCGCTCTTATTGCCGAGTGTAGGGATACATTTAGGGTAGGCCAAATATTATCATAACGCGTCTGAACTGGTTCTATTTCTTTTTGTTTCTCCGGCCACCACAGATTGAAAGGACCAAGGGAGTCGCCAAGTTCGTCTAAATTTCTCAAATAATTGGAGATTCGGATAGCTTCCAACTCCATAATCAGCAACCCCATTTGACTCGTCTTGTTCTTATCACTCATGAAAAAAGCCATTTGCGCGGGCTTTTTGAATGGCTTCAAACCAGATATGCGCCATTTTGCTATAACCATCATCTTTGGGATGGGTGCCATCCATCAAATCCTCGACTTCGGGTCCTTTGGTGCTGTACATATCTGCAAGAACTATCCTCTTTTGTTCGGCTTCCTTCAATACCACGAGGTCACGGAGACAACTGTTGATGTCCTGAACTCGCGAGTTGACTTGTTCATCCACGTTTAACAGCAACGTTGACAAGACAACGGTCGAGAGCGGAGAAGTCTCCCATAAATATTCCAGCAGATTATCCATTCGGTGCCCAAAAGCATCAAGCTTATGGTTCTGGATACAGTCATTGGATCCGGCGTTGATTGTGAAGAGGTTCGGCTTGAGACTTGCGACTGATCGTCTCGCTTTACTTTCGATCTGATCAAGGCGATAGCCCCGCCATCCTTCATTTTTGTTGTTATGCATCAACCCGGCCTTGCGCGAACCGACCATACAGACTTTGTAGCCATTGGCAAGCAGAAGATCTTGCAGAACCTTTCTGTATCCATTTCCATCCGAGGATCCGACGCCATATGTGACTGACCCTCCTAGCGGCATCAGACGTAACACAACATTCGGGGACGTTGCCTGTGTACTGTGAACGGTGACTGATGCCTGGTTCACCTTGTTGCTAATTGTGGAGATGACGCGAATTTGAAAAGGGCATTGCCCGGTGATGAATTTCTGGCGGGACCGAGATATCAATTGTCGGGAATACATGGTTCAAGTGGCAAGTGAAGCAGATGAGGCGGGCCAAGTTACCTGGCTATTCTAAAGAGGGGTATCAAGCCCCCCAATTGGATAAATGTTCTGGAGGTCAACGCCGACGGGGCCAAGTATTTATGTCCAATCAAATTCGCCGAACAAACCTTGTCACACAGCCAGCCATTTCACGACCCGCGAATCATTCCGGTCTCAGCTGTCACACATGTCACTGGGAAGTGAAAGCTCGGTTGGTCAGATACAAGGATGATGACCGTCCATGGCCAACAAAACCTACCTAGGCTACAATGTAGTACTGAGTAACTGATGAAGGTGTTGAAAGTGGCCGTCTTGGCCACTATGAGAGGCTACCGAGAGTGGGGTTGTCGGAAGAATCACATATCACTGAACCTACCAGGTACGCCAGTACTTGCTGGGCACAAGGTTAGGCTTCAGGCTGCATAGACAGGTGATGGGGTGATCCCACTAGCAATTTTCCCAGGTTCTGAAATGGGCTGTTAGCGGGATGAGTGATGGTAAGTATAATCTATTGTGGGCTAGTGATATTGCACTGCGGAGCAAAGTGATAGTTGATTGCCATTGCCAGTGCTGCGATGTCTCTGTCTGCGGGATACGCATCAACGCTGATAATATTTGGATATGTCGATGGAGACATTGCCGGCCAGAGTAATTCAATTAGGGCTCGGTTAGCGTCCCTGGCGTTCGGAAGGACAGGGTGCAGATACTGAGTAAGGAACCACGAGAGAAGAAACATTTTTGACTTTGGGCGTTTCCGGCGCTTTTTCATCTTGGTCAGCTGGTCAGCGGCCATTTTCTTTTGTTTTCCTGTATTGGCGTATTCATCGAATAGAGGGAACTGGGATCGCGTGAAGAATCCCTTTTTAGCAAATTCGGAAACGTTGACTGGAACTAGGGTGGCAGGGCCTTTAACTCCCCGAGGATACCTCTTATCGACAAGATCGTCGACAATAATGATGACGGCTGGTCGGTCCTCGATGAATTTAGAGACCCGGTTTTTCGTAAGGTCACGTACATAGCTCCGGTTCTCAACGCGATAGTTGATCCTCTCCAGCCTCGTCATCACCCAATCCCACTCTACTTGGGTCATCCGTGCATGCTTGTTGCCTCTAAAAGTGTCCGTGTTAAGACCATGGTTGAGATTGACGATGATGAGCTCCTTGTTTCTGCTGGTGAAATCGTTCAAGCCATCAATGATGTCTTTGAGGTACTCGCCATTGCCTCCATGCCAGTTGCCAGCACCAAAACTAAAATGGCCAGTTGCCCATTTGCCCTTTGTCAGGGTAGGACGGATATCCAGCCAGCGTACACCGTATTTCAGCTGGGCTGAGACGTTGAGCATCTGAGTCTTGCTGTTCCGGGGTAAACCCATAAATGACCGGCCATGGAAGCGAGACATGCCTGAGTTATGTGTTCCAGGTATAGCCAGCTCCCTCAGGGAAAGACAGGCGATACGGGGGTAGATGGAATGCATCCAGTCTTCGGGAGGGTTGCTTGAAACAATCCATAGCGAAATTGAAGGATTTCGAGGATCCGTCTCAGAGCTGGCGATGATAAAGGGAAAGTTATTATCCGCATGCCATACCAACTTGTGAAACGAGCTGCGTTTGTTGTTGAGAGTCCTAAGTTTTGTGAACCGAATGCCAGCACTACCGTCCTTATATTTAAGTTCGAAATCGGGTTTGCCCGGCAGGTCTCTGAATTCGTAGCTTGCTTCACCGGCATCGTCCTCGTGGGCACTACCCTCGATGTAGATTCTGTTGGATGTGCCTAGCACCCAATCAGTCCAGTCAAACTGACGATCAAAATAGAGTTCCTCACCTGGCTTGATGGTTTCGGGAAAATTGAATTTTCTCATCTGATAGCTCACCTTTCTAGACAACGTCATGTTCCAAGGTGTTGCGTTGACAAGCAGGAAGTAGGATCCGACCTTAATACAACGACGCTCAAGCTGTTCTAACACACGATCCCCCGGGGCTTCAACATCGAAGTGTTTACTGTCCGAGCTAGCCTCAACGCCATTGGTAGCTAGGTCGACGGGTGGTGCAGCGATAGTGAAGCTGGTCAGAGCAGAGATACATAAGAAAAGGCGACAGAGTAACATGGAGTCAATGGAAAGCTGCAACGGAAAGACAAAGAGTGTTTTCTGGGTGAGTGAAAGTCAAAGCAAGATTCGAGAATTATAAACGGGAAGGGGGGGCATTGCCCTCTTTGACGGAACTCAATGTCATTTTTATGGCGTTTTCTGGTACCCTTATTAACTTCATCAGCACCCACTTTTGGGTGATTCAGGCTTCTTATACCGCAAGCCAAAAGGTTAACCTCACGCTGCTGGTATAATGATGAGCACACGATATTACTTCCCGCAATATAGAATTCCACGTAATAAGCATACATAATGCGCCCGTCGTCAATTTATCGCGTCGGTACAAGATGAGACTGCTGCACAATCTGGTCATATTGGCGAATTCAAAATGAGTATGTTTCAAGCCACGAAGGGTGGAAGCGCCCGTGAGTGCTGCCGGAACTTAGAGTGAACGCGTGAGGGCAGAGATGCCGATTGGATACGTGAATTGCAATCTGGAGGAGGCGGACTCAATGTAATCATGCCTGTAAACCGAGAACGCGAAATGCGCTGTGTTTCTTCCACGAAGGCCTGTGCGAACCATGTAGACGACCGCTCTCCCAAAGTTTCCAGCGTGTAGTAATTTCGGTTACGTCGATTGGGAGGGAGAAAGCAGCAATCATGCTCTTTGTTCTTGGCTAAATATGGTTTCATAGAGCGTGTCTCCTCTTACTGCCTTCTCAACTTTATCAAATTGACAGGCCTTGCGAGGTACCGATACTATTGCCACATCGCAGCAAACCACCATGAAACGTTTGAGAGTGTCGTCTAGAACTAGAATTCGCCGGAGCCAGCCATAAATTGTATTGAATGTAGCCTCGCCATGAACCCCACACGTCAGATGGACTATTTCGTTTCTTAACAGCATTCAAGTAGGTACATCTTTTCCGCAGGCTCTTATCAATATAACTATTTGATTCTTATGAACTAAGTAGCTCTTTTAGTACTAACGTATGGTGATGATAATTCTCAACTAAATGACCATTGTTGTTAACCTTTAGAAACACCTCCAATTTCGCATTCCCATACCCTGAACCAATATCTGTGGCATTGCAAAGCCCAGTCTTATCAGAATCGATGACCGCCGAGCTATCCATCATGAGATTTGCCACTACCGGGTCATTGACCGTCTTTACCCTGCACCTTGACTGCAGCGCGAGAAGGAGAACGCCAGAGACCACCAATAGCGCGTTGATACCGAGCCACGCATACAACCGCCATACTGAGACCCGGACTTTGAGCAAGGAAGAAGGCTGCCAGATATGGACTCGGGCTGGGCTATCTGGATAAGGACGTCTGCTGAAATGTTTGTAATTTTTGTGACGAGAATCCCGGATGACAAAAAGAAAATAGATTTGGATGGCCGCCGTGGATCCCTTTGATAGCACCGAGTTACCCCTGCGGTCATAGTGATAAGATTGCGGTCTAGAACCAAATTCTGGCTGATCTAAACAGGCAATAAGGAGGTTTATGTGGTGCAAGATTTGGTCTTATCTTATCATCAGGCACTACTACGGAAGTTCGGCTCAGAAGGGACCGTTAACCGTATTTTCACCAATTGCACCTCAGCAGAAGTAACCATTATTGGTAAAGAAGTAAGCAAAGGTGTTCACAGCCCTACGTGGCTCAGTATTTTAGATAACGCTTGAGTCAGTATTAACGCAAGAACTTTGACTTCTGTGTTGTGCATGTAGCGGATTGTCCTTCTAGGTTAGAGGCTAACTATTTTGCACCTTTATCTACTGTGCTGATCTCATGTTCTGAACATACAGAATCCTCTGCCCGCATGCTCGAAATTGGAAATTCCACAACATTTTCACCTTCCAGGTATCCTTCGGTAGCTGCTAAATGCTCAAAGGCAAATTCAGAAGTTGCCTGACCGTATGGAAGGACTTCGGCCCGGAAAACCAAGTTTACTGCATAGTACAATACTGCTGCAGCAGTAAAGCAGATAACCCAGCCTGTCTGGTATATGTGAGTCGCAGCCATAGCCACCCAGGTCGGATGATAGGCTCCGATTAGTCCTGGGATGCCAAATACTGCTGAGCAGACCCAACATCCAAGCGCCCTTAGGTTCCAACCACAGGTGTAAAAGTATAGTGAGCTCTTGGAAGGGTTGAATAGCGACGGAGTATGGATGTTTCCACGTTTGATAAAGAAATAATCAACAATGATGATCTGAGCATGTGAGTTTCTAAAGACCTCAGAGTGTGCAACCGTGAGAGGGCTTACTTACAGCACAGATGGGGGAAATAAAGCAATTATAGCTGCCTAGAAATATTAGGAAAGCCGATCCAGAAGCTACAGAAGAGGTGAAATGTATCAGCGTTTAATCTTCATATATAAACAAAGAAAGCAGAAGTATATAGAGTCTTACTAAGGAGCTTCCACGGAACAATGGCGAGGGATAAGACTCCGCAACAAATCTGTCCCCGTACAATTGTAAACAATTTGGGTACCAGGCCAGTAACATCGGCTCCTGAAACACGTGTTAGAATCGTCATATAACTTCCTAGAGAAGTCCAGCCTTACCGAAAGGAATAGCATTGCAGCCAATATTCACGCCCAACACCGACAGAGCAAATCCAAACGAGGCGAAAAAGCACCCAGCTCGAGCTGCTGGACCCCAAAATCGATCAAGAATTGCGTTGAGAAGATCCCACTGATTCCAGTATGCGTGTCCGAATTTACCTTGCACTGCTGCTGTAGCACCAATGCCGAAAAAGAAAATCAGCGTCTTACTGAAGAAGATGGACGATGCTTGCCTCCAGCCGGCATCTTTTGGCCGACGGGTGTATCGAGTAAGGTCGGGTTGCTGAATCGTTAGACTAGCCTCAGAGACCGCAAAAGCGTCGTGGATTTAGTTATACTCACATTGACTAGCAGTGCAGACGTGACGCCTAAACAGCTATTTATTCCATTGAGCATCGCCCATCCAAGGGCTCCCCCTTTTGCTTCGGTAGTGGATGAAAGAGAATTCATACGAATCCCTCCTCCGTATTGAACACACCAAGCGAAGACGCCGATACAGGTTAGAGGACAGATTATTGACTCGGCCTAGGACTTGTTAGGCTCAGTACGTGAAGAAAGGTCTACGCGAATATACAAACCGCGAACAAAAACTTTATCTTGCGTGGATGGACTGCCAGAAAGGGCATTTCAATGATCCAGAACAAGAAAAAGGCTAGAAGATCCCTAGAAGTGATGCCAGCGTTGGCAGGCAAGTGATTCGTCATATGCCACCAGGATTCTCCAAAGACGCATCTCAGGAGAACGCTGAGTAACTGGGACCCAAAGTATGACTGCACTCCAAACCTGTAATACCGTCAGTACAAAGCGTCCTTTCTCTTAGTTCGGTGATCAGAGGTTGGCTTACCAGATAGTAGCGACTACAGCTCGGATCCAAACGAAGAAGAACTGGCCATACCTACACTTGCGGTTAGTAAGTTGATTGATTTGAGATCTCCAATCAATCGGGACATGATGACTAACATTCCGAAAACACTTCGAGCCAGGACGGGATAGCCAACGTGGTACCTTGCGCCTGGTCGGCCAAGAGCAAGAGCAACAGAAGATGAAATCAAGTTAGCCTTGTCCGACATTAGCTGCTGCTCTTTTCCCACGGTATTACAACTCTTACAATGATGCATGAAACCAGAGCTTGATGCCAGTTCAGGCCGACAGCAATCAAACTCGCTCCGTTTGACCATTGACTTGCATTGAATGCGTTCTATACATTTGCGCAAAGAGTTAGCCATGTAAACGAGAACCGAGGAAAACGGGATGCTGGCTTACACCCCACCAATAACTGCTAAGTGAGATCCTGGATCAACGATCAGCAATTGGTATAGAACTCTCATCTTCATAATGGCACGCACCAAGACCATGTTCTTGCATCCGGCGGAGTAGGAGCGAGATCCTTGTTGATCCAAGTCGAGGACTTAGTCCCATCGGCAGAATTGGTAGTCAACACTGCCTTCCATGCAGCCTTCGATCGGGGAACTTGCGGCATCTTCATAGTGGATCAGGCGGAAGGTAATCAGGTGGTTAGCTGTCGTTTGTGAGTTTCTCTCAACAGGGTGAGGTCATGCTGGAACTTATACAGCTATGATGGTTTGTAGCTTGTGATTTAACATATCAGCAAGGTCACCAGGTATCACTGGCGTTGTGCTTTGTCGGATGATGTGTGCAACTCGCTATCTGTCGGAACGGCCATATCGTTATCGAAGACAAGCGCTAAAGTGGCGATACAACTTATCGCTCTCAAGATAGCGATATAATCGGGTTGGCCCGACGCTAAGGATTCTCCAGATTGAACGCGGACCTTTCCGAACCAGGTTATCTTGAGCTACATAAAGTCGAAATAATAAAAAAAACAAGTGTTTAGTTCTTGATACCCTCGGCTATGGGTGATGATTGTTTTGCTGAATCTCAGCTCCTTTCCACTCTACGAACGTTAGGCTTCTTATCGCCGCATACCCATCCGCGAACCTTCGCATTTCAATCCATCCGTGGCGCAGAACACTATGCAAGAATTTGATACCATCCTGCGCAATGCCCATGTCAATGGCTCCTTCGTTTGCGATATAGGCATTAAAAGAGGGATCATCGTTGCCATGGGTATTGGCCTCGTTGCCACCGAAGACACGCAAACAATTGACTGCAATGGCGCCATTGTGACTCCAGGTGGTGTTGATGGCCATGTCCACCTGTCTCAAGATCGTTCTCCCAGAGCTAAGGAAGCAGGCTATACTAGTGCCGATACAGGTACGTATGCGTTATTCCTTCTCACGTGCTTACCGCTAACTCCAGCACAGTCGACACTGGGACTCGGAGTGCCATTGCTGGAGGCACCACAACCGTCATCTTGTTTGCAGAGCAATCTCGGGGTCAGTCATTGAAAGAGCAAGTTGGAAAATACCATGAACTTGTCAATGAACAAGGTTCATATGCCGACTACGGGTTCCATGCCATCATCACCGACCCCACTGCAAAGGTGCTAGAACAAGAACTTCCAGAGCTTGCCCAGTCAGGTATAATGAGCATGAAGCTATTCCTCACATACAAGCATATGAGGATTTCGGATCGCCAGGTACTCTCAGCTCTACAAAAGGCACGGGAGCTAGGAATGGTGGCACTAGTGCATGCAGAGAATGGGGATCTTGTGGATTTTTTCACTGAGCATTTAGAGGCCCAAGGGCTCACTGACCCAAGGTTCAAGGCAATAGCGCACCCTCCAGAGGCTGAGGCTGAAGCTGTCAATCGTGCTATTACATTCTCTTCAGTCATGGATACGCCGATGCTTATCGTTCATGTCTCTGTTCGACAATCGATGGATGTTATTCGCAAAGCCCAATCATTATTGAGGCCGGTATTTGCGGAGACATGTCCTCAGTATCTTCTCCTGGGGAAGGAGAATCTTGACAGGGATCACTTCTGTGGTGCAAAATTCGTCTGCTCACCACCTTTGCGCAGTGACCCAAAGGACATTGAGGAAATATGGAGAGGAATTATTAACGGCACATTCACCATATTTTCATCGGACCACTGCCCATATCGGTAAGAAATCACGTCTTATTTATTGCTGCTTCGGAGGGGTTAACTTACACCAACTTAGGTTTCACGACAGCAGGGGGAAGAAGTTAGGCCATTCATATAGTAAAAATGGTGAGGTTCAAGGAGTGTAAGTTCCAAGTTAGCGACATGTACCTGGCTAGGGCTGACCATCATTGAGCTTTACTAAAATACCAAACGGACTTCCTGGAGTCGAGACTCGGTTGCCCTTACTCTTCTCCGAAGGTGTCCTCAGGCGTCAGTGCATTGATGTGAAGAGATTTGTCGAACTCACGTCTGAAAACCCGGCGAAATTGTATGGTCTCTATCCGCGTAAGGGTGCCATACAAATTGGATCAGACGCCGATATTGTCATTTGGCACACACAAGATGCGTTCTCACCTAGAAAGTTGATACACAGTCTACACCTGCATGATGGCTGTGACTACTCGCCATATGAGGGCATTGAGTTTTTGAACTGGCCTCGTACTGTTCTCGTACGGGGCAAGGTGGTCTTTCAGGATGGTTGTATAACAGGCACCAAGGACTATGGTCAATTCTTGAAAAGGAAAACATGCGCTCTCCCATATCAGCGGCGAATGGAAAAGGAATGGGATGTGCTGCGTGCCTCTATATAAGCTGCATGGCAAGCAAAGGATTCAGTAGCATGGCTCTGACTTATAGACTTGGCATTAGAAGACAATAGAAAATACATTTGAATCGACTTTGATATTTGATAATAAGCACTGGTTTGTAGTGTCCTTTTTATTTCCAACTATAAATATCTAAATGTTCTGGCCAGTTTCGATACTGAATAATGAACCCCATTCACTAGCAAGGCATGAAGTTGCCATGCCGAGTTGTCGAAGCATACCGTACAGTACAGTGGCGACCGAGTCTAAAACTGTAATGGAATACTTCCTTTCCCAGAATATCGCTCTTTGAGCAGCCGCAAGGTTGGTACACATGATAAGAATGACCCGGCCACCATTCGCGACAACCTTTGCGACCATCCCATCCAAGTCTTTCTCTTGAACACCCGCAAAATCAAAATTCGTCGTTAAGCCGGAGCACTGTGATCTTGACGTCGCTATGGGGAGCCCCTCGGTTGTAAAGTTCTCGCAGATTGAAACATTAACCTTCGCCACGTATGGTGTCACGAGGCCAATCTCTGGAGCCACCTTTAGACGTAAAATATCTCTTATCGCCAACACCGATGAAGTTGCCGGAATACCGGTGGTGTTCTCAATCACCTGACATAAAGTCTCGTCTGTAGAAAACCCCAGCCAGGCTGCGGATGTGCCGCTCCAGCCAATGATGTCGACTTTGGCATCCGCTAAAAGCTTCGCTGCGTTGAGCATTGACTCGAGGGCGAATTGAGATTTTGAATCGTCAGAAAGTTCGATTTTCGTAACCCGAAACCTCGCAAAATGCAGGCTAGCCTCTATTCCCGTCTTTGTCAGGCTGGAGATCATTTGCTGCGTCATCGGTTCCAGTATTGTGTTTGATGACGGTACGATGAGTCCCAAACGAACTTTACATGAAATAGGTGTTGAATTCATTATTGTCGGCGAAAGTTTCATATGACCCTCGTTAGATTGATGCTGATATGATTGAAAATGTACTGCAATTAAAACAAAAATATCATGCGTCAGGCGTTGCACCCTAAGCAGATGGGCTACCGCTAGGCAAATTGTAAAGGAAATGTAATTACGGATAGTGACGGGCGTCATGTGTCGGAATGGTCCGCAATCAGAGATAAGAGATAGATACGGAGCCACTCATAAGAGCTATGTGCATCTCCGAGCTAGGCTGCACTCTGCTAGCCTAAGTATCGGGCCATTCCGATTCCGATATCACCGAGGCATAAACATCAATCCATAACTCGGGTCACGTCCGTACCTCCACAATCTCTGAAAGTTATCGCTCTGATCCGGCTCTATCATGGAAGGTGACAACATGGCCGAATATGGGCGTCCTGCCAAACGACCTCGGGTCTTGGTCGCATGTCAGAGATGCAAAAGCCGACGACAGAAGGTAAGATAAGAATCAACTCCACTGTCGCGATCCAGCTCCAAGCTAACTAAGAAAAAACTAGTGCGACAACTCGAGCCCAGCCTGTTCAAATTGCGACAAGGCAAATGTATCGTGCGTATACAGCAACCAAGCCTACCCATCCTCTTACGTCAAGAGGCTGGAAGAGCGAGTTCGCCAACTCGAGGCGAATGAAGCGGCCGACCAGTGTTCTTCAACCCAGGTTCCCACTACCGGGAATCTTTGTTCAAGACCAGCGGGGGACTTTCCAACCACTGTTCCTTCTGAGAGTCCTTCTTCAAGCCGTTCACCAGAAATTACCGATGTGACCTCTGTAGCCGATCGTTCTGGTCAACTTGCGTTAGGTTTGGGGGTCTTGTCTTCGTGCGCAGGGGCTGAACCTCATTACTTTGGCTTCTCAGCTGGCCTAAGCCTTGCACATTTCGTTCAAGTTGCAATCGACACAGGCGAAAACCCTGTAGATGTTTCTCTACCTCAGCTCGCAGACAGACCATTTTCTCACCAAGTGCCAAAGCCCAACACCACGTTGGCCGAACCTCCCACATATAATGCAGGAGCTAGTTATATACGGGCTTATCTGGCCCTTGTGCATCCACTGTATCCTTTCTTGGACTTGGACAGGCTGTGGCAATTACATCGTTCTATCACCAAACGACGAGGCAGACAAGAATCTGCTAGCCCTGAACAGATTGACTTGACGATATTGCATTTGGTGTACGCCATCGGGTCCAGATGCCTTCAGCTTCTACAGAAATTTAACATTTCGAGCACAGTCTCCGAGGGACATTTCCTCCGAGCGATGGAACATATTCGTCAGGACCTCAAATTTACAAGTGCGAAGTCTATCGAGGTGACGTTACTTCTGGCCATTCATTCAATGCGCTCCCCCTATGGTAGGTTAATCCTTATCAATGATCCTTCTACTCATGCTTCTCCTCACTGACAAGGTAATGACAATCAAAGGTATCAGTGTATGGCATCTTGCCGGCCTGGCTATTCGTCAGTGTCTCGAACTCGGACTACACAAACAACGTCTCGTAGATCGCCAGAATGTAGAGTTAGACCAATATCGGAAAAGACTGTTTTGGAGTGCCTATATTTTTGAGAGGAAAACAGCCTTAGTTCTAGGTCGGCCATTTGCTCTCTCAGACGAAGAAATTGATCTTCCTTTGCCAGCGGATATGAAAGATGGGAATGTTGCTACTACTCAAGACGACACGCGCCAAAACGACCCGAACCACACGTCGCAGTACGAAACGACTCTACTGTTTCACCGACAACATATTCAACTTTACCAAATCCACAGCGAAATTCGCCTGGCCCTGTTACGCATGAAGAAAGTCCCATTAAAGGAGGACCTGCGAACTACGACGTCCAAATTGCTTCAGCAGTTAGACCGGTGGAAAAGACAAGTTCTGACAACATTCCGGGAAGACATTTCTGAGGCATCTGATAATACCAGAAGGCTTACAGACCCTTTTCTGGAACAGGACAATGCTGACAGCGAGTCGTCGTCTTCAGAAGCTCCCCAGCACCAATCCTTAGTCAACAGACCTGTGGAGATGGAAAAGAATGAGCTTCTACTAGAATACCACAAAGCACGAAGGTCTTTGCTTCAACCCTTGATGACGGAAAACTGTCACAGTCGCCCATTTGAGATAGCTGACTACGCGGCATGCGCCGAGTCATCTGGGCAAATATGCCGGCTTTATAGGCGCCTCCATCGTCTCTCACCTATTCCATTCTCACTGAGAGATCTCCACGCCGTTTTTCTTGCTGGGTTCACGTTACTTTACTGTATCCGTGCTTGTCCCTCGATATATTCCGTGGAGCGCGTTGGCGATGTTGGGGCCTGTTCCACTGTATTATATGTCATTACAGAACAGTGGTCAAGCGCAAAGAAGTACCGTGATGCTTTCGAGACAATCGCAGAGAAGATGCTTGATACCGTGAAAGGACAGAATCTTGGAGGTCAAGGTAATGAAGGCTCGTCAAGCCAAGAGACACATTGCGCGACAACGGTTAACAGACCGAAACGAAGACAATCTCACGTATCACATGCACTTGATGGGAATGTACATATCACATCGAACTATGTGAATGGGAATGAGTACGAAGCTTGGAGAGATTCTACAGGGCGTTCTGGAATTCGGGGACACGCCTCTGAAGATGTACATGGGCAGTCCCCGTTAGGGTTGACTCGACCAACTTCCTTGCTACTTGATGTAGACCAATCTGCTAGTGCTACCAATGTCGTCTCTCATGCCCATCAAGGCATAGACTGGGGCTTGGATGATGACATTTTAGATATTGAGAAACTACTCTCAAGCGAGGGACTGCAATGGTTTACTGGGGCCGTTCTGTAGAGATGAACAAGTCAATCTTATTGTCACATATTATAATGCTAGATTTTCCAGCCAAGTTTCTTGTTATTTACAATAGTGTTACTACATTGCCCACCCCGTTCAAGGCACAGTTGAGTAAACCTTCTCGATTTTAGTTATCTTGCATCAATCAAATGGCGTATTGACCAGCCCTATCGATAATAGTTTAGCGAGACTCACGACGGCAGCAATCTGCAAGTGACTGTGCCGTCCGATAAGCCATCCCTCCACTCATATCTTTCACACCCACCACTCGGGACCGTCCGAATTGATTCCGATGCCCTGCCCATGCGGGGCTATGCAGAGTTGAGTCATTTAGCTTGCTTGCCATAGACGGAAAATAGAAGTATTAATTCAATCAACCGCCCCAGGACTCAATCCTACCAGCCAAAATAATCGCCTTGTCGTTATTTTTCCTCAGTGTAAAAGAACCTACGCACGGCGCAACTGATCAGTAAATCATGGTGGAGCCATTCGATCTCGTTATTACTCACGGCGTATGTGTTACGGCCTCTGATGTAGGTGCCTACGATGTTGCGATTAAAGATGGCAAAATCGCCTTGCTGGCTGCATCAGGATCACTTGCTCAAACAGAGACACTGCGATTAATTGATGCTGAGGGAGCATACGTGACTGTAGGTTTCATTTCGACTACCAAAGAAAGATATGCTTACCACAATGGGCAGCCTGGTGGCGTAGATTGCCATGTTCATCTTCAAGAGCCGGCCATGTTTGGGAATGGTTCCTCATCGGATACATTTGAAACGGGTTAGTCGTGCACCACCCTCCAAGAAACCTACCTTGAAGAAACTGCGTTTTGACGCGAATCCAGGAACTCGATCCGCAATCGCTGGAGGTTGTACCACCATTGTTTGCTTCGCTCCTCAACAGAGACACGAGCCTTCACTTCTAAAACCTTTGGCTGACGCCCACAACAAGGCTCGAGGAAACACCTACTGCGACTATGGGTTCCATCTACTTGTCTCCAATCCCACCGAGACAGCTCTGTCCGAGCTTGGAATGCTCAAAGCCGAGGGTGTAACATCTCTCAAGATCTATATGACATACGAGGCACTCCAGCTCCGCGACGATCAAATCTTATCAGTTCTTCACCATGCTCGCAACAACCATATTCTCACCATGATCCATGCTGAGAATGGTGATATTCTTAACTGGCTGACATCTCAGCTTGAGGCTAACAAACTCTTTGCACCAAAATATCATGCGACATCGCGTCCGCCTGCGCTAGAAGCGGAAGCAACCAACCGTGCCATCGTGCTGTCATCTCTGATTGCCAATACACCTATATTGTTAGTGCATATTAGTGACCCAGGTGCAGCATATCGCATTCGACAAGCCCAGACTGCTGGCCAGCCCGTCTTTGCTGAGACTTGCCCGCAGTATCTCTTTCTTACGCGTAACGATCTAGATGCGCCAGGCTTTGAGGGTGCTAAGTTCGTGTGCTCACCACCCCCACGGGATGAAGCATCACAGGATGTTATTTGGGAGGGACTACGAAATGGAACATTTACCCTTCTGAGCTCGGATCATTGTCCGTTCTCCTACGATGACATAGAAAAGGGCAAGAAGGCTAGCATTACGCCTGAACATCCAGTCGGAGAGTTCAGGCATATCCCCAATGGAATTCCTGGGGTAGAAACGAGACTCCCCCTAGTGTTTTCAGCTAATAGGCTACCCCTGACGAAGTTCGTGGAGGTGACATCAACAAATGCGGCAAAGTTGTATGGGCTATATCCGAAGAAGGGAGCAATTATACCTGGCCTGTCGGATGCAGATCTCGTGATTTGGTATCCGAATGACAAGCTGCCAGAGGTGACAATTCGAAACGAAATGTTACACCACGCCAATGACTATACACCATACGAAGGAAAGACAGTAAGAAACTGGCCACGGTATACAATCTTACGCGGTATGGTTGTATGGGATAATGGGGAGATAGTTGGCAAGAAGGGATATGGCGAGTTTGTTCAGCGACAGGCAGGGGTCTTGAATGATATTTGGGAATGTGTGCAGGAGCAGGGACAATTTTCTGTGGCTTATGCCTAAGGAAACCCTATGAAGTTGAGACTGGTTCTTAGCAAAAATGATAGATTGCAAGATAGGTTACATACGACCCAAGACTATTTATTAATCGAGTCATCAGAATGACCTCTATCTTATGGACTTGCAGTATCTGCTGACGTTTGTTATTAAGTTATGGAAGTTGTGAGGAGCATAAACTGTAACGCCTCTTATTAGATTTCTTACCGATGAATAAATTTGTCTACAAGCTGACTCTACAGGATCACGGGGACCGCTATTTGCTGGAGTATCTAGGTCGGCTGAATGATTGATTAAAACAGCGTGGAGCTTTTTGGGTCTAGAATACTACTGACTAACCAAACAGAAAATGCGGCCTCTCTCGCTGTCATCTTCTTCCATTCATGCCGCAGTATAAAATACAACGTCTCTGAAGACCCTAGGTACTGCCCTCCAGTTTCAAATCACATTATTCTCGTCAAATTCCCGGTCAGCACGTGAAGTCGGGGCTTGTTCGTCTAAGTGGAGCTCTGAGGCACGCATGTCGATCTTCTTGATGACCGCGCCCAAGACAACTTTGAGTAGCTCATCATCCGACATGGATGTGCCGTGTCCGCTCCAAGTCACCGTATCGACAATGTCTCGCGTTCCAGCCTCTTTGTGCAGTTCGTCATCCAGGTGCTGTAGCGTCTTCTGTCGCTCTAGATTCGGCCCGCCTAGCCGGAATAGCTGAACTCCAGCTTGATGAATCGGTGCCTTGGCCTCATCGAGGGTTCTTGCAGCGTTGATAAGTGGCGTTTTTATGTCATCGTCGAATTGGCCGGCAGTGAGCACGACAATGTTGAGAGCAGCCTTCTCCTCTCCAGCCGTGTACTTGTCGCAGTACCACTTAAGAAGGCCACCGAGCCTGGAGCCCATATTGCACTTGCCAGCCGGCTTGACGCTGTCGAAGATGCTGCCGACCTGCTTTCCTTTGCTTGTCAAGAGCATACTGCCGACGAAGCCGCCAATGTGAGTATAGCCTGACTTGCGAATGGATTGTAATCCGGGCAATTTGGCCAGAACGCCGCCCGGTCGGTGGTTGACAAAGTACAGATCGACTCCATCTGGATCGTGCTTAGCACAGATGGGGGCAATGCGCTCTATCAGTGTCTTGATCTCGGACCAGTATGGCTGCATGGCCTCTGAGTCGTCGACGAGGAACATGGTGTCGAAGCATCGCAACTGCAGGAGCGTCTTCTCGAACTCATCGACGTCCATGGTTGATTGAGATTCAGGGGCTGACATTGTGTTTTATTGTTGTTTGAGGATAAGTTTCAGAGCTTGACCGTAATCAGAAGGAGGTCTAATAGTAGACTGAATCTAAATTAATAGAAAATGTTAGAAAAGACTGTGAAATGAGATTAAGGCGGTGAAGGTGTTATGACGCCTGTAGTGGAGAACAGACAGGGGGGAGTGTGGACTAGAGGTTACACTGTATGACATAACAGAGAATAGCTATCATTATAATAGAGGCTACGCAGTAGAGAAGGGACGAAAACACATAACCACGATGCTAAATGATAGAAAGACTTTGGTAATATAGCCTAAGCTTAGTGTTACTTTTCTTAACCTTATTTTAATACCCTACAGCAAGGTTTGCTGTTTTCTTGCCTCCCGAGGAGAGATTAGTTATTCATATAGTTAACTATAGATAAAACAATAAGCCATTTAATTCATTTCCAAGCTATATGTCGGTGCAGTTGGAACTACACTTTTAACCATTGGGCATGATCTATCTGCAAGTTCATTCTGCTTTCTCCATAGGAGCATTGTCTTGAGTTGCAATTGCTTCAGGACCATCAGCAGGACCTTTCCATTCCCCATCCCCCATCTCTCCGTCCCATCCATGACTAACAAGATATGCACGGAACCTCTCATCATTCTTGCTCAAGTCCTCTCCAGTGACATTCGGGATAAAGAAGTATGTCACCAAAACTCCTGTTATGCCACAAATGGCAGCAATGATAAACGTCCAGCGCTTTCCCAGAGTGAGTTGAATGGGCTTGAAAGCCTGAGTTCCTACAGCTGCTCCAGTCTTACCAAGCGCCGCGCTGATGCCATAACATGTCCCGCGGATACTTGTGGCGTAGCTTTCGGACGAAAGCAGACCAAGCATATCTCCAGGACCAAGATTTCCAGAAGACTGCATAAGACCATAGAAAACAACAAACAAGGGGACAATCTTGGTAATTCTGTCATATGCACAGCCAATGATCAGACCAAACACCAAATACCCTGCGAACCCTATCATCATGGTGTTCTTCCTTCCAACTCTGTCGCACATCCAAGCACCAATGAATACACCAGGCAGAGCAATGCAACCAAGCAGGAGCTGCCATTCTGCCGTGTGTAAAAGGGTGTTGCCGCCTTCGGGTACGACGGAGGCAAGGATGGTACCTGAGAAGACCCCATTGGGAAATGTGACAAAGTCGTACAGAAACCAAGCACCGCAAGTCCCTATGAGAGTTTTCCAATAGTAGCGAATAACGAGGGCATAAGGAACCCTTTTCTTAATTGCCCCCTGTCGGTAGAGCTTCGAGTTTAGCATGCGTATTCGGAAATAAAAGACAGTGAGAGGCAGCAAGATCCCGATTCCGAAACAGACACGCCATACAGTCGAGAGATTGTCAATTCCAGCGGCTGAGAGAACAACCATAAAGATAGAGACTGCAAGCGGACCTCCAAAAGATAGCGGCAAATTTGTAACAAGGATGAATATCGGTCCTCGTTTGTTCAATGCTCGCTCATTGGCAGACTCAGAAGCAGATGTGCTACTGGCGGGATACTCGCCACCAGTTCCAAAGCCAACGATGCCTCGAGCCACTGTCAGCATCCAGAACATGCCGTCGATTGTCGTGCCGTGTGCCGCTGTGGCCAGGATACCGCCGATGACAATGCAC